TCACGCTCCCAGGACTCCAACACAAATTAAATTACGTTAAGTGCGCCACTGAAGCACTGATAAAGCCTAGTCCCATCGTTACAGTGAGACGTACTAATATGCATTACTTCTCTTCGTTATAATTGCGTGACAAATGCAGTCTTCTTCTTCTTTGTGTGATGTCTATTATCAAACTCTTTATTGTTTAGTACCTGCGTTTAAACTATAGCCGATGGAAAGGCTCATTATTTTGTGGTACCGTAACCCGTGGTTACTTACTGCAAGATCAGTTGCTTGGCAACTAGCCGGAAACCTATTTAGTTTTTACCCGCATTTTCAAGTTGGATATTGTATTTACTTTATATTAATGTAAAATGTAAATACTGATAACTCACAGAGTTGTAGATCACTTTACATTAATGTAAATATTGATAACTTGTAGAGATATGGGCAGTGGACAGAGCAAACAGCCCAACTTCCAAAGGCGTTCTCAGCAGGAGGTAAAGGATCACATGGAACGGCTGTAGAAGTTAAACCCATGGTCAGGAATGGGGGCGTACTCGAACTATCGGTATAGTATTATACACTAGACACCCCCCCCCCCCCCCCCCCCCTTGTCAAGAATACCAAAACACACAACCCTGTCTCTCTTTCAGCCGCCTCCCCTGTTAAGAATTTATTAAATGCTGTTAAGAATTTATTAAATGCTGTAGACTCAGTGTAGAATAAACAGTGCTACAAAAATCAAAAACAGCAAGTCCTAAAACTCGAATTTAAGTTGAAAGCAGTAAACTGAAAGAATGTAATGTGATACCATCTGTCCTCTTTAAAGATTAGTGTTACCATGGCAACCATAATATTGAGAGACACAGAGAGTTATGTAACCCTGACTATCATCTATAATGAACTCCAATATAGGAAGTGTGTAGTAGTAGTATAGTATAATATATTGTGTAGTTATGTACAAGTAGCATGTCAAAGCAAGGATGATAATTAAGTTTTTAAAAGATATATAAGTGGAGCTGCAAGGTGGAAGGGGGGGGGGGGGGGGGGGGGGGGGGGGGGTGTACCTGAACTGTAAGTACTTCTAGTCCTATATCAAATATGCCTGAACTGAAATTCTAAATATTTAGACAAATCGCGATTTTTCAGATCCTGGCCTCACGACAAATCGCGATTTTGTCAGTTCTCCGCGTCAAATTGCGCATTTTCCTTTGAATCCGAGAATAAAATTTGCGTATTTTCCATCAAATCTGTGGGCCAAATATCACGTTTTCTATAATTCATAGAAATTAGAAATTAGAAATTAGAAATTAGAAAGATCATTACAAAATTACATGTGTCAGATCCCAATCAGTTAAATGAAACCAAACAACAAAAAAACATAATATCTTAAATAAATAATTAAATGGATTCAAAGTGTGCACGAAATAAGGATACTAAGTCATAGCTTACTTTTAGGAAATCTTTCACGAAATAGATTATAAACAAAATTTCTGGTCTCCAAAATGTAATCCTCATTAAATAATTTACTGAATTGACTATTTGTGAGTATGTTGTGAAGGTTTGTGCTGTTTCTTTGTCTGATCTCCTTGTAGACAGGACATTCTTTAAGCAAATGGACTTCGTCTTCTTTAATGATGTCACTAAACGGGAGCTCGTTCAGGAGGTCTATGGTGATTCTGTCTGAGCTGCAGCAGAAGTGGCAAGCTCTGTAAAAGATGCTTGAGTTTTTCCAGCCATATCGCCCCGTCTCGATATTAAGTTTGTGGGAGCTTGTCCTCAGCCATGTGGTACATCGGGTTTTCTTGTGATTGGGTAGAGACAGGTATGGTTCTAATCCAAAGCTGCTTTTGACTTCGTTGTAGAATGTAAGCTTTTTATTTTCAAGTCGAGCTTTTTCCCACTTTTCTTGGAACCAATTTCTCATTCTACTCCGAACGAGTTGGCTGTTCGGCATGGGAACATTCTTCGAGACAATTGTTCGTTTAATTGCTCCTGGGTCAAATGCGTCGGTCAGCGCTCTCGATGTTCGGAACCAGGTCAGCTCTAGGTTTCTTTGCTCTACAAAAGCATGGCGAACAATCTGTGGTGAGTTTTTTCTGTCAAGGAGGACGAGCCTGTTGTGGAAGTCAAGAAAGAGCTTAGTCAGTTGTATTCCAAGGGGATATCTTCCTGTGTCTCCCCATATCGGGATATTTGAAGTTCTCTTGTTGACCCCAGTCGTCCATTTTAGCAGCGAGAGATGCAGGCGCTCGATGCTGTCATACGCTAATTGACTGAGTGTGTCTTTGTCAGACTGAGTTTTCTTCTGGCAGATGTTGCTGAGAATGTTGGTATAGGGGAGCCACACCTGGCTACCGTATGAGACGACAGGAAGTATAAGGGCATCGAAGAGTTTGAACACAGCCTCTTTAGAAATAGAGGAGAGATCAACCGTCTTTTTCAGGGAGAAGTATGCTCGAAGTCCTTTGATCCTGAGCTGCTCTTGGTTAAGTTTCATACTGCCACATATTGTGAAATGAGTACCTAGGTAGCAGTAGCTTTTGACCGAGGGGATTACAATACTTCTGCCGTAGGTAAATGTTTTACTCTCGAGTAACTGCCTTCCTGAGGGATTGAAGACGATGACCGCAGTTTTCTTAATGTTAACAATCAATCCCCAGTTAGTGCAAAATATGTGGAGTTGGTCAATCATTAGCTGAAGACTGACCTTGTTAAGGGCCAGCAGGACCAGATCGTCCGCCCAAAGCAGGTGAGTAATCTGTTGGTTGTTGAGTTGGGGACTTTCCACTCCGGGTAGGGCGTTAATCTGGAGGGAGAGTTCGTAGATATAGCATTTGAAGAGTTCTGGGCTCAAGGGGTGGCCCTGTTCTGTGCCTGCATTAACGTCAAAACAAGCCGAGAGCTTTTTAACCATTTTAAGCCTTGCTTTTGAGTTTCTGTACATGTATTGGAGGCAATCAAAAAACCGCCCCTGCATACCAAGCTTATTTAGTTTGTACAAAAGTGCTTCTCTTGATACCGTGTCGAACGCTTTCTGAAAGTCTACAAAACAGCTGTAGATTCTTTTCCGTTGGACTTTTACATATTTTTCAATACAGGAGTTAAGTGTGAAAATATGATCAGAGGTTTGGGCCCCCTTGCAAAATCCTCTCTGGTTCTGTGATTCGGGGCAATGTACAGCTCTGAATTCGAGAAGTCGACTGAGCAAAATATTTGAAAATAACTTGCCCAAATTGCTGCCCACGGCGATTGCTCGATAGTTATCCGGGTCATGTGGACAACCTTTTTTGTGGAGAGGGGTAACGATAGTGGTGTTCCAAGGGTATACACCAAACTTAAGACATTCATTAAAGAGTTTTTGAATGAGTTTCACAACTTCGTCCGTCGATGTTTTGAGGAACTCATTAAGAATTAAGTCGATACCCGCTGCCTTTCCATTTTGTAAGCATTTGATGCCTTTCTTCATTTCTTCCTGGTCGATATCTCTGTTGAGGATTTCAGTGTCGATGATGATTTCACTTTCATCATACGGTTTCACCAATTCTTTAGGTACTGTTTTGGTCTTGTACAGATCTTTAAAGAATTTATAAAAGTTTTCTGTATCGAAGAGGTCAAGTACCGACTCTTCTTTATTGGCATCTTTAAGTTTATTGAAGTCCTTCCATGAGATATGCCCGTCTTGCAAGATGTCTTCATTGATTTCTTTGTAGAACAGGTATTTTTTATGCTTGATGAGACGCTTGTATTCCTTTTTCTTAGCGTAGTACTCAATGCGTATAACATCGTTTCTAGGCTGTTTTCCATATTTTCTGGCAAGCTTGTTGACTTCTCGTTTCAGTATGATGCATTTTGCATCGAACCAGCGATTTTTGGCCTGGATTCTTGGCTTGCGTTTCTTGGTGTTATGATTTTTTCGGGGACCCTCTACATCTTTGTTGATGTCCACAAGGAGTCTGGTTAATCGAAGGTTAAGACTGTGGACGTCTTCTTCAGAATGACATACTTCGTCAACAAGGTCAGAGATAGTTTTAAGCGTACTTAGCTTAAGGAGCCTTGCTTTGTATTCTTTTGCTGATTGCTCACCATTCCACTGCACCTTTTCTTGTACATCATCGTAAAGGTTGAGAGCTGATTCAGATTCTATTATTTTCTGAGTTGATTTCAAAGAGCACAGCAGCGGCCGATGGTCTGATAGGTCGGAGAGCTCAAGGACTTTGAAATGTTTGATTACATGTCGTGTGTCGTTTGATAATGCCATGTAGTCCACAATACTAGTTCCATTGTATTGGTGTGACGTCGATTCGCCAAATATGTCACCTAGAGTGGATCCATTTAGGATAGACATATTACAGCTCTGAATTAAGTCTAGAAATTTTTTACCCCGGTCATTGATGACAGGGTCCCTGCTTGCTCGTTGTTTGTGGTAAGAAGGGTAGGACTCGATTTGACCTGTTGTGAATTCCTCATTGCAGGGTTGAACCGCTTCATCTGCGTTAAGGTTACCTGTTCTTGCGTTGAAGTCCCCAACTAGAAGTATCGCTTTGGTCTTAAGTGACGCAATGAATTCAAGAGTATGCCCCATTGTGTCTACATCCGAGCCCAATGCGAGCTTTTTTATTTTGTAAGATGAGTTGGGAGGAGAGTCATACACATTTATAAGCATTAGGTCCTTGCTGAGCCCAGTAGCTGTAGTTGAGATATTTACAGCCAAGATGTCTTGTGATTCACACATAATAGGCCTCACAAATTCACTAATAGATCTGTGAACACCGATACAGAGACCGCCTGATCGTGAGTCAGACCTTAGTTTGTTAAAGCATTTATACTGGGGAAGCTCGACATTCCCTTTTGTTTCTTGGAGGCAGAAAATTAAACCGCTGGTTAGAATTCTGGTGAATTCATTTTGATCCGTTTTCTTCCCAAGGGTTTGGTGATTAATGTCGTGAATATTCCAGGAGAGGATCGACAAATCACAGTTTTTGTATTCTACCTCACTATGCCTTTTCTTGTGATCGTTATTCATGTAGTGAATCGTTCCGTAGGGTTCTGTTGTTTGTTTGTTTTGATGGTGTTTGGATTCCTACCGAGCGCTGCAGACTGTCTCTGAGACGTAGCCAAAGCCTAGATTGTCCACGTTCACTAAGTTGGATACTTGCTTTTCCATTGTCATCGATTTTTCTTTCTATGTATCCTCCTAGAGAGTCGTTGTTGGTTGTAAATAGGCGATCCTTATACTTGTGGGAGGTTCTTTCGCAGGATATAAATTCCCTTAAGGTGTTGTTGATCTGCCGTAGTCTACTATTGGTTTCAGGGTATCCTGGTACTGGTATCATAAGCGAAACACATAGTTTGGTTGAGGTATTCTCTAGAACATTGTAAATGATCTTTTTAAAGTTATTTGTTATGATGTTGCCTTCTGTGTTACACAGCACGTCACCGAAACCAACGTGAATAACTACAGTTTCTGGTTTGACTGCCTTGATCCGTGAAATCAGATTTCCGTTCTTGATGGTAGATTCAGCAGATTTTTCTTTTAGACGGCTGATGTCAAAGACTCGTGAGAATTTGTCTTGCTCGAATTTGTCAAAGTAAGCATCATGCACAATGAGACATTTGTGTGTATTGAACTTTTTGCTTTGACTACTCTTTGGTCCAGTAAACGGAAGATTAGCTTTGCAGTTGGTTAGGATGTTTGTTTTCCTCAGCTGGTTTGTCTTAGGATTGGGAAGTAGATGTTTTCTCGAATCAGAGCTTGTTGACATATTCCAATCTGTCGAATCATCAGGTGGGGCGTCATTCTTTTTGTTTTCCTTAGTTTTTGTGCTGTTCAGGATTATTTTCTCTGATGTGTTGGTAGTTTGAGGGAGGTCCTTTTCCGCGATTCTGAAGATTCCTGAGTTTTCCGTCATAGCACAAGCATCCTTTTGTGGTTCCTTGGCCGTTGAACTAAATGAAGACAACTCTGTGTTGTGGTGCTTCATGTTATTCAATTCATTAGTGCTTCTGGTTTTTTGAGCCCCATTGTTGTTTGAGGACTTTTCCTTTTCTATTCCAGCTTTGCTTTTAGCTTGATCGAAAGATTTGTCTTTGGTGGACATTCCTCTCATTTCTTTTAAGGAGGATTTCAGTTCCTGGTTGTCACGCCACAACGCTGCTAGTACACAAAGTATCATTGTTTGTTGACGCTGTGAGGTTTCTGCATACTCTGGTATGCATTCTCGTTTAGCAACTTGCGGAGAAGATGTTGCATTATTATTGACCTTAGTTGTGGGATTCATCAGGTCAGTAGTTACACTCTTTTTCGTTTTCTGCACATTCGGCTCTAGGGCGTCGATTTTGTTTTTCGTTTTAGTGTAATCTTTTTTCATTTTACTGAGAGAGTCTGTAATTGTGTCCAAACAAGTTTGCTGGGTATTGAGAGTTTCGAATATTAGTTTGTTGTTTGCTTCTAATCTTTTGTTTGGCGGGGGAGTTTTTGGGTTGGCGTGTTGCTCCTGCATTGTTCTGGTTCGGATCGCAAGATTTTCGATGATTGCATTTTGCTTACATATGTCATCTTGTAGTCGAAGTAGGCATTCCTGGAGCACCTTCAGAGGGCCTTCTGTTATGGACTTACAAGAGTCGCAGTTCACCAAAGTATCAGTTTGATTAGATCCTGTAGATGTACCAACTTTAGATGTTTCCTTTTTCTTTTTTGCGCGCTTGTTTTTAGAAGTAATGGGTGCCTTTTTTTTCTTTACGAACTCTTTCAGTTTTACGTCTGAGTTTGAGTTTTCTGCTGGTGTTTCCCATTCATCTGCGCTATCTTCTTGCGAGCTGATACCATCTGAGCTATCACTCAGCATGGTTGGTAGAAGCTTGGAGGTCTTTTCATCATTGCTTTGGGCTCGACCTTCTTGGGTATCTAGTATTCGTTCTCTGAGAAGCTTTTTCTTAGCTGCATCCGTCAGAGATGCAGTTTTTTTAGAGTCTAATCCCAAGTGAAAGAGTTCACCGTCAATCAAGGAACCTTTCATTTTCTCTACCATTCCTGAGATGAACGATTTGGAAGCTTGGGCTTGTTGTTGATTTACCAGCTTTACGAGCTGAAGTAGGGAGGCCTGATTTTTCAAATTGTTGCCTTGGGACTTTAGGTTGCAGAATTTAAGCCACTTCTTAATCGCGGCTGATTTTTGTCCCTCAATAATGAGTTCGCAGGTTTTCTCTTGAAGGAAGACATTAGTTGTGAGAGCTTTTTGTGGTTCTACGAAAGCCTCCTTTTTCGAAGCATTGTCTCGTTGTTCAGCAGAACCTGAGTTTTCAGTTTTAGTGAGTTGGGTCTCTGTCAGCAATTCATTCTGTTCATCATTAGTTGCGGGGGATTGGTGATGATTCGGAAGCTCTTCTCTGGTTTCGGATTGGTCAGATCCTTCATCTTTAGTGACTTGTGTATCTGCCACCATTACTGACACATTCAGCTCGTCACTAGCGGCCGGGTTTTCAGCTTGTTCCATGGCGGTTACATCTTTTGTTAATTGAGTTCCAGTTTCAATTACTTTACAGTCTGTATTGAATTCTCGTCGCTGTAGTTGAGTTGGAACGTTATCCTCTTCTCGTAAGGTATGGTGTTTAGGTGAAACAATTATGTGGAAGTCGAGGATGTCAGCTTCTAGTGCATTTTCGCGTGCTAGGCTGATGAGCATGCTTTCGGTAGTTTTTGGCAGGGCAGATATAACGGCAAGGTTGGTCAGTTGCACGTCGAAGACATCCATCATTGCGATGTTTAGCTTCTTTGGTATGATATTCAACGCACGCTCCCTCCCCATGTGCAAACAGATCATTGGGTCTCCAAGTCCTCTATCTGTTTCACTGAGGTCTATCTTGAAGTTTCTGCCTTCCATACTGATAATTTCGAGAGAGTTGAACATTGGGGATGTCTTCTTTATATCTATTTGCTGGTAGTGTGCATTAAGCTTTGCAAGTAGGTAGAGGAGTGGGTCTGTGACAGCTTCCTTGTGACAAAGATCACTGCGCTGTTCTTGAGCGGATATCCTGTTTGTAATTGAGTCCACAACCTCTTGGTTCCATATTACTGCGATCGATTGATGGCCCAGTTTATGGTCAGCTTTCAGTTTGAGGTCTTCACTTGTAGTGCCACCCATCGGGTAGCTCTTCCTGTTTAGCGTATTTTCCAGTATAGTGACTAGGCTCGCCGGGGTGAGGTTGGAGTCTCCATTTAGGAAGTCGTGTTTGATGTGGATCAGAGATTCTCTCCCAGCAGAGCAATCATGGTATCCTTCCTCGTTAATTCTGATACAGCCTAGTTCATGTTTTGGAATAGAGAATGATTCAGCAAAGTTAATGTCAGATTCTGATGGGGACCTTTTCCGCACAGGTGTTGCATTAAATAACTCCTTGTCGACCTTTAGCCGAAGACGTTTCTTCACAATTTCAGCAGGGGGGTATGGGCCTACTGATCTCGATCTCGGTCGGATTCGACTGAAACGGGAGTCGTAAGGGGATAGCAACATCCGTTTCTTGCCCGAGTGAATGGGCAGTGGGGTGATCTCAGGGGCTCCTATGCCTGTGAAGTAGCCATCGATTTCTTCATCATTTTCTGACTTTGGTCTCTTGGCTGGAGTTATGTGAATGCTCGGGGTTGGCCAGGACTTTGTGATATCAAGTCGTGCTATTTGGTTTTGATAAAGAGGGGAGGGTGGTGTTCTGTTCCCAGAATCTTGTTCATCATCATCCTTTTCGATGAATTCTATTACTTTGTTTTTGAGAGACTCACTGACGGTCGTCGGGGTTTCTTCAGTGAGTGGTGAAACCACGGGGAGATGACAATCTCTTTTCAGTGGGGTGAGCAGATGATCGCCATCTGTCTCAGAGATGGTGGTTGTGTCAGCACTGTTGCCGAAAACCCAGTTGTTGGCGAATCCAAGTATTTTGAAAAAGGATTTTTCAGACACCATGCTGACGTTTGATTTTTCGTTGATACTGATGTTGTTTGAGGTTTCAAATCTACCGGGTAAACTTACACGTTTTTTGTTGCTATCGCGTTTATCCTCGGTTTTGACATCTGTATTTGTTTCACACTGACTGAGTATCTTCTGTTTACTCTTTTTCGGACCATCTCCATCATCATCATCTTCCTCATTATCGTCTCCTATCAGTTTACTGTAGTTTGCACGATTTCCTATGGGTTTTCTACTGGTGACTCTGAGTCGTTGTGAGGTGTTAGAACTCGTGGAGTCAGACGAGCTTTGTTTGCCAGTATCATTACCTGAGGATTCGTCAGTGTCCTGATTTGCGACTGATGTGGCTGCAGAGTTAAATGTATATCCTAAAACATGTATTTCTCTACATTGTACATGTCGTGTACTGAGTTCGCAGCTCACTCTCCCGGAAGTAGCACAGGGAGTGTTGGTATAAGGTGTAGTAAATTTTACAATATCTACCCGGGCTAGTGGCGGGACTGACACCGCGGGCCGGCCGGGTGGCGAGACTGCGGCTTCACTCCGCTCAGACCGCTGCTTTTTGCATACCTCTGCAGTTATGCTGTTTTGACTCAGGATGGGACACAAGAAATGGGACACAGAGTATAGGTTCTGGCAGAGAATTGACAAAAAGATGTAAGAATTGTGCGTGTCAGGAGTGAGAGGTTGCCTGTTCGAACCCGGTGTGGTGATTGTCCTAGTATTATGATATACATTGTTAGGGCTAGAGTTTAATAGTTCAATATATTTCATACAACAGACCATCAAAATACTCCATGGGGGTGGGGGGGGGGGGGGGGGGGGGGGGCTTGCCTTCCGAGATCGCATTACAAAGGGGAACCCTCTAGTCCAAAATCGTATATTGAACTTCGAAAACCGAAAAAAATATTTTCGACTCATTATAATGATCAGGGTAGCTACAGGGGTGCCATAGTGCAAAGAAATTGCTACTAACTGCTACTAACTGCTACTAACTGCTGCTAACTGCTACTAACTGCTATTAACTGCTGCTAACTGCTACTAACTGCTACTAACTGCTACTAACTGCTGCTAACTGCTATTAACTGCTGCTAACTGCTACTAACTGCTACTAACTGCTACTAACTGCTTGCATTGCGCGCGCCGTTTGCAGCAGTTAGTAGCAGAACTTTTTTCCTATTTTGCTGAGAGTAAACTGATTTAGATCATTTAAAATTCAATTTTAATTCTGCGTTTTATATACAACGTATGCTGTAAAATTTATAATTCTGGCGTTGTTCGATACGCTAAGGACCCCAGATACACCTTACTAGACGTATTTTTGACTGTAGAATCGATCAAAAGTGGTTTTAAGATGATTGGACTGACTTTTTGGGGGTAAAATTGCAAAAAACCGATTTTTGGGCCAAAAATAGGCCAAAAAACCATGTTTTTTGATATTTTGAGCAAGTTAATTTTGTTGGCATGTCGGCAAAACTTGCCAAAAACTGATTTTGGCCACGTGCTGGCCTAATTTTGCTTACTTCGATAGAAACAATAAACATGTGTAAATGAATAATAGAACTAGCAATAATAATACATTTATAGTAATACAATGTTTACCAAATGTGATGCCCTCCAACATCATACGTGAATGATCAAAAATGTTTAATTTTAACTTAGTACTTTTGAGTTATGAAAAAAATACGAAAATGGCGAATAGTCCTGCGAAAAATAGCACGACAAATAATTAATTTTCATTTTAATAATAGGCATGTAACCATGAAATCCTGGCGTTTATTACGAACATGACCCACATTTATAAAAAGATAGTTCTCCACTCAATACCTTAGATGGCAAGTACGTACGGTACAGGGCTTTAAGTACGTACGGTACAGCTACTTTTAAAGGTACGTACCGTACAGGCCCTATAGGGTACAGCCTTTTTTGGGATGTAAATGTAACTTACTTTTTTCAAAGTCAGTGGAGTACTACTACTTGCAATGTTCCTTTGGCTTTAGTATTATAATAATTTTATTTGAGGGAGTAGTCGAAGAGAAACATGAATTATTAAGAATTAACGAGCAGTGACAGATAAAATCAGTATCACATTTTAATGTGCTTATTGGAGTAAATAAACACTAGTTTTTCAGCAAGCTGAAGCTTCAGCCTCAGCCTTCTTTTATTCATAAGATATTCGTAGTCTCTAAAGTTTGTTTCACACAATGAGGATGCCCTCAAAATCGCGTAAACAACATCTGCCCACTTTATCAACCAACATAGTTCAAAGCGCCAAATCTAATGTCACATGGTCCAACCCTTCTGGAACATTTTTTCGCGCACGTATTGTACATTAACTGCTCTAAATCTAATGGAATTAATTGAAATGCAGCGATGAGCGAATTCAGCTTCCATGAAATTGTCGTGTGAACGTGGTTTTTGTGCATTTTTTCGCAATTGCAAGCACTGTACCTTTCAGCCCAAGTTTAAAAGTACGTACCGTACAGCTAATTTAAAGGTACGTACCGTACGTACTTGCCATCTTAGCTCAATACCTGTCTAGACTTAAGTCTGCTAAAAGAAGTTCGCGGTTCTCTTAAATGGTAATTGTCTCTCCATATTTATTAAACCCTTTAACGATTAAGTATATTTATTATTTAAGGGGGATGATCATAGAACTAACGCAAGCAAATCAAACTCCAAGCTAATCAAACCACCAATTCAACATTTTAAGCAAATGTTGAGACAGGATCTTTCCAATATTTCTCGATGATCGATCAGTCATATAAGGTGTTCATTTATCGCATGGGACGCTTCGTTTATTGTTTATCGCAACCTATTTATGTTGATGAATATTAAGTTTGAACTTTTTTAAACTCGTGATCAATCACTTACTACTGAACCAGAACTTTGGTTGTTATAACCTCCTATTCTATTCTAGTAGAGGCTCTTACGGGCATTGTCTGCTCGATACGCTAAGGACCCCAGATACACCTTACTAGACGTATTTTTGACCGTAGAATCGATCAAAAGTGGTTTTAAGATGATTGGACTGACTTTTTGGGGGTAAAATTGCAAAAAACCGATTTTTGGGCCAAAAATAGGTCAAAAAACCATGTTTTTTGATATTTTGAGCAAGTTAATTTTGTTGGCATGTCGGCAAAACTTGCATGGAGATAGCTATAACACAGCCGCACAAGATGATATAAAAATTTGAAAAATCCCTCTATTTTTTTGGGGGTAAAAATGCAAAAAAGTGGTAAAAATTTTGACTTTTTTGCTTGAAGTTTGAATATTTTTTTGCAGTTGTATTAAATCAATCCAAAAATAGTCACATCGTGTTTGCCTAAATGTTTCCTTTCCGAGAAGTACCCACTTCATATACTTTATCGAAGTTTGAATATTGTCACTCCGCAAGCGTTTTTGCCAAATTTTCGACGCGCACTACGCGCAAAAGCATTTAGTTGTTATCAATTGGCACCCGCGCGTTCATCATAAATTTCAAACAGCTATAACTCAGCGAGATTATGTCCGTTCTAGCTCATATTTTCACACCAAACAGAAAATAATGTGATCTTATTGCTGACAAAATATGAATATAATCACTCTATTTGCCTTAGAGTAATAGACTGTCAAAGTTTAAAACGCGCATTGGTATAGCACGTGACTAATAAGGCCAAATTTATACTTCTTAACATATTATCGATCCTTAGACATCATACTATTGTGTCCAATTAGCGGTTAGGTCTCTAAACTCGTAGCAGAAAACACGTCTTTTTGCCCGTAAGAGCCTCTACTATACCGATATAATGACCTCAGCATCGAATCCTTTTTGAAAGAGTTTAACCGTTCGTTCTGTTGTGCTGTCTCCCTGTCCTTATACTATGGATTGTTTCGCAGCCTTATCCTCCAGTCTCCATCATAACAATACCATTCTCATTGGTAAAATGATCTTCATCGCATGCCTCTGGATCTTTTGATACAAAAGATATCGAGCCTTTTTCTTTATCCTTTTCAATTTCCAAGATATTCTTTGAATTCAAATCCTCGTCTTGAGATGTTTCGCATTCTTCAGGAATAGTTTTCAATATCATATGCATAATAATGAATTTACTTGGGAAACATTCTGTTTGTTGGAATATTTTAGAATTCTCAGTTGATATTTCTGTTTCATTCAAAGGAGCAAAATTATTTTTAGTGAAATCTGGTTTTTCAGTAGACTCCATAGTAACATCATTTTTGTACAAAATAGTGGGAACTTCCTTGTTGACAGTTTTGTTATCATTATACGTTCTGATTTCTTCATCTTGTCCTGACAGCTCATTTTCATTAAGAGCGGATTGTGGAGTCATGGCGACGTTTCTTTCCACGTCTCTTTTCCATTTGTTAGCTATACTTATACCCACTTTGTTTATCGATAATGAACACCGTCTTACACAAGACATGTAAAATAGAGATACCCAATATCTAAATTTATTTACCGTCAACTTGACTGTCGCGATTATGGAATCATGATATAGAATGGGATTTATCACCGAATTTATTGGTAGAATCACTATCGAAGATATTGGATACAAGGCTGCAGCATCCATTAATTCAAAAGAATGCAGCACACACACCGACATAAAAGGGACCCAACAAAAGAAATCTGTCGCGATTATGATAGCTATTTGATGATGGGTGTCCTCTTTATCTCTTGAGCGTCTATTCTGGTCTCCATTATTGCACCTTCTTGCTCGTTTCTTTGAGCTCTTTGTAAAGAACAAAACTTTACTGTAGCAGATAACTATGATGATGAAACACACAAAATTCAGGATTAGATTTGACCATACATAAACTTTTTGTGGGTCTTCTCTTGATACAAAGTATTTGAACAGACATACGCCATCATTGCCATAAAAATGAACTTTCCGTCTCCCTATACCTCCATATTGGTTTGAAAACATTTTGCTTATCAAGTTATTGATTTGTTCCCAAGTGTACACAACAGAGCCAGCGATTCGTCCATAATATTCGTTTATCTTGTTAATGTGTGTGTGTCTTTGGTGACAAATGCTGGAAATATTGTAATTTTTGAATTATATGTCATGCCATTGACAAAGATATTCTCATAGCGGACTATTAAGGGGATATAGGCCAGACAAAATGATGCAATTGAAATAATCGCGATGATGATGACCATTTTTGCACCTGCATATTTGGAGGTCATTTTTTGAACTTTTATGATACCGATAGCCCTAAAGATGCTGAGAATTGTCATCGAAAAGAGGGATATTTGACCACCGAATGTACTGAACACTCCCAAGAAAGCACACCCATCACTGGATAACCAATTAAATCGTTCTTTACAGTACGATTCCGCAAAGATGACTGAGTCTAAAATAGCAATGGTTAACAGGTACAGTCCCGTTATTAAATCTCCAACATGAATGACAGTTGTCAGAGCTTTATTGTTCAATGCCGACGTGAAATGTCTGGTTGCCAGGTGTCTAAAATTCTTAAAAAGTTTGACAGAGTTTAGGATAACTGCCGCAAAACCAACTACCCAACTGGAAACCTTTAGAGAAAGTTTTGAAATAATTGTTCTTCTACAGTCCTCATTGCACTCGTCGCTGTAGTCAGCACAATCTATTTTCCCATCACATTTCTGGCCCCTTTCAATGAAACGTTTTGAAGATATGCATAAAAAGTTGTTAATGCATGTTTTTTCATCTGAGCTATCACCACAATCGTCAACTAAGTTGCAAACTTTGTCATAATCGACACATTTATCATTTTTGCAGAGAAATATATCATTTTGATATCGTCCACTTTTCTTGTTTTTATTCAAAAAGGTCAGGCGATTCTTATTCTCTATTGTGAAAACCCTGTCCTCGTATTGGTTATCAATCATACAAGAGTCATATTTAAGTGGTCGCAATGGACAAACAGGCTGCTCTTTGCATCTTTTCAAGCAACTAAGATAAACGTACACTCTTCCATATACGTTTTTGCAGTCTACGATGGTCTTTGGTAAAACTATCGTTGGTATACCGTTGAGTCCAAAAATAGAGACTGGCAAGAAATATTCTTTGACACATTGTGATATATAGTGACCTAAACTCTTACTCACTCCAGCAACACAATGCATTAGAAATTCCAATGGCTTTGCTTTTCCAATGACGATGGGGTTCGTGAAAATATGTTTGGATGATTTAGTCTGACCACAAACTCTTGCATGATCACAAATGTCATGACCGTTACACAGATCTTGGAACGTAACAAAATTGTATGATCTAGGGCTGCAGATGTAAACATCTTCACATTTACTACTGTCAGGCACATAACGAGAAAATCTGCCGATTCCACATGTTGGCCACATCTCTGTTTCGTCCTCTCCGTTTAGACAGTCTTTACTTCCGTCCATCAGCCAAGAGATGGGTATAGAAAGTTTTGTGTTATGGCGATATCTGCGGGAACATGTAGACAAAGTCATTATGTCACAGATCTTAGATGTTTCATCACTTTTATCGGAACAATCCGAAATTCCATTGCATAATCGATGCTTATGGACATTACAAGAGCGAGTGGTTCTCAAGCATAAGCTGTCGAATCCATCATCGCACAAACCTGGCTTCTGAACGCAGGTGGCAAATTTAGACACCGTAGATGGGTATCCGTCAATCATACACCGCACTACTCCTCTCATTGGGTCCGTACAATTAGTTTGGTCCATATAGAATTTGCAGTATGGTGCATACAGAATTTTATCAACGTGCTTCTTATATCGAGTTAATAATTCAGCAACATACAACGGGTTATAGATTATTAGCGCAGAACATCTGGTGAAATTGGAAAGCCTCCGGTATGAGATTGATGATTCTATATCCCATGAGACCCACCATTCTGGAATGCATTGTTTGCTCTTTTTGACATCTTCATATAGTTTTTGATAGGCAACGTTTTCTTCATAATCCCCGTAATTTATGACACTGTTTCCATAAGGTGTTATATCAAATAAACCATTCCTACCAGTATATAGATCTATCATATGATGGTTGTACACGGAACAATCGATTTCATCCTCACCACTTTCGCAATCAAGTCTGCTATCACATATTTGTTCCGTTCTTATATATGTCACATTATTGTTACTTGTGATGTTCACACAAAATATACCATAACGATGACCATTACACAACGCTTCATCAAGACAACTATGATCTTCACATAATCCATTACATGTAGTAACATCAGCAATACTAAAATCCGATAGAGTTATATTTGCTTTGTAAAGGGTAAAAATCTTAGGTGTTACTTCCCCAATCTCTTTCTTAAAATATGTGCTACATAAAGATTCAGAAATGTTTTCTTGTGCGTTCATGGTCAGTTTGTTGGTACAACCTTGATATACACGAGGATCGTCAGAACAGATCTTTGTTACACACTCGCGAGGGAAATTGTTTGTTGAATTCAGTCGCTTACGTGGAAAATATACGTAATATTGTGAGGCCGAATCGTAGCATTCAATGATTTCAAAATGTGCGTCTTTTTGACAAACATTTCTCAGAAATCCTTTAGTTTCGGCAATGGTACACGCTCCTGAAATAATTGTATGAGAAATAACGATATCAATTTTGCTTTTAAACCAGTGTGGAAATCATTTTCAGCCGAAAATAAGGTGAAAATAAGAATAGACTGAAAATAAGTGTCGCATTTCCATTGTTACATTTCTTTAATGTTTATTTGACACAACAAATTAAAAGAAATACGCTAAGATAAATATAACATATGAAGGACTTACCGGGCTGTATATTGCAAAGAAGTCCCAATGAATAAAAATCATATATATGACCCTGCCTGATCTCCAAGGAATAAGCACAGTTATCGAAATCACTTTCAGTTTCATCACAAGCTATATTTGTCATCACTCTATGTCTCCAAGGTTCTTGTTCATCATCTAATACACTGCTCCTATGTTAAGAATTTTAATTTTATGAGAACATTATATGTGCAGAACTCTAATTCGGCGCTTGTTTGAACGAGGTTTTAATTACTTTTTGTGGGAGCAGTTTTCAAGTTTAGGTTGAATTTTATCTGATATTTGAATGTTACATACTATTAGGGATAAAGGAGGCCGTATTTTGAAGCAACTCAAATTTTGCTCGTTTACAAACTTTATTCATTGATGGATAATTGAAATTAAATTATAATCAAAACTATACTAAGTCAAGCTTCCCGCGTTAACAGAAACACATTGTTTAGCATCGTCACAAAATTTGTGACAAGCTGTAAAATAGTTTTAAATATAGCGTTACTTACCAGGCTTCTATCGCATCCCAAAAGTACGAGTTATCTAATTCAAACCAATCCTCAGCATAATTATAACCAAGCTCTTTGCACATGACATTTGCTTTGTAGTCTGAGAAGTTCGACGGGGAGACAGTTACTGTCTGAAAACAAAAACATTTGAAAAATATTATAACATTTTAGATACATATATATGTTTTTGTTCGACTAGGCCAAATAACGTTAAAGTATTATGTGGAAACACAATTTGTGCTGAAAATCAATGTTTTTACTTTTAGTGACAATTTTATAAATGTTCATGAACAATTTTCATTTCCAATCTCTCTCAATGTTTTTGGATGCACATTTTTATTTCTTGAGCTGGTGCAGTTAAACACGTTTTAAAATACACGTAAATAGTCGTTTACGGTGCCTTATTAGTTACTTCCAGAAAGACAGTTACAATAATACAATATAAAGATATAAACAAATTAGTAGTCAAACCCGGTTAAGCACTTTGACCAAAACAACTCCAGCGCTTCCATTGCTCGGTTTACCATCTGTCCCGTAAAGAGCAAACTGAACTTCAGCTGTAATAATAAGCAATGTTTTAGTCTTTAGACGATTATCAAATACACAGGATTCATTTTTTCAATTTAAATAAATTAGAACTTTTCCAGTCTGATCAGTTCATTTGATATTCTATATTTTCCATTTTTGGCGGACCCACTTGATAAAATATATCTACAGCTGTACAATTTGGTCCCAAATATAGATGCAATTTTGTCGAGTACACTCAAAACTCAATAAAACTATCTTTTGATTCCCCGAAATGTGCAAGTTATCTGTTTATCTAGATAAAATATATTTTTATCGGTTTACAAATTCACTAGATATTACCGAAAATACTGCCACAATACAGTGAAATTTGAAGGAAATATTACTATTAATGGTTTTGCCTCTCTCTGTTCCCAAGTAATCCAAGAAACAGTCCCAAACGTCTTCTAGTATGATAGAAGAGGTAGTTTACTTGGATGTGAGCTTGAGAGGTTTATTTACATTTGCATACCTATGGGACTGTAGAACTGTAAAACTGTAGAAATCCAGAGAAGGTTATTGACATTGTTCTCTTGAGGAGGGTGCTGGCATTTTACCATTCTGGAGACGGGCACGAGCACGTTACTGTTAACAGGAGTCAAAAATATCGACAGGGCACTTAATCGAATTCCAGTGAAACATTGTCTTCAGGAGAAGGAATCTGTTGCTCCAAGTTATCAACAGGAGAGGAAACGGATCATTGAATCACTTATGCTCTTCTGTTCCCAGGAGAAAGAAACTGTTCCGAGGAGAATTTGTATTTGGTGCACTACTAATGCTGTTCTCAGGAGAAGGAAACCGGTGCTCTACTGTTTTGAAGAGAACTGATACACTACTGTTCTTAGGAGAAGAAAACTGGTGCTCTACTGTTTTGAAGAGAACTGATACACTACTGTTCTCAGGAGAAGGAAACCGGTGCTCTACTGTTTTGAAGAGAACTGAAACACTACTGTTCTTAGGAGAAGGAAAGTAGTGGTCTACTGTTTTGAAGAGAACTAGTGCACTACTGTTCTCAGGAGAAGGAAAGTAGTGGTCTACTGTTTTGAAGAGAACTGGTGCACTAATATTTTCAGAAGAAAGGAAGTGGTACTTTACCAAGATTACTGGTAAACAGTGATAAAAGTCGACAGTTAGTTTTTGTGAAATTTGGAAAACATTTTGGCTTTTGCCTTCAGCAGAAAAATTTTCGGTTTTATCTAGAATGAAGATAAAACCTTAATCGATATCTATTTATCTAGATAAAAGATTTCATACCGATAATGGATAGCCTAATCTAAAATATCTAATATTTGGTCAGATATGTATTTGCAAAAACAACGTTGGTAACACTTTTTCCTAAATTGAAATTATGTCCCTGAATTGTTATGTTACACTTACGAGGGCATCTGTGTGCGTTACAGGTCTGGTAATCGATTCCTCCACAATATGAGTCGCTCACCGGATTGTCTGTAATTGTATTATAACACAGCGCTGTTCTGGATCTAGTGCCTCCTCCACAGTCGGCTGAACAATATGACCAAGTCAAATCAGCACGCCAAATAAATCTTTCAAGACCTGAAACAATCATGTATAGGATAGGACTAAAAATAGGACTACAAAAACTGTGTCCATCGAATATGTTGTTCTACTAACAACTTGAATGATCATCTAATTCTAGTACTTGGTTCAATCGAATATCCTGCCCAGTGTCCATACACTAAACCTGTCTCTCAAATTACTTATCAGGAAATTCGGTGACCATCTCGCGCACCATTTTCACACCAAATGCACCTTTTTTAGAACAACTACTTGTGCAATCGGGGATATTCTGGTTTACAATTGCCGTTTTGTTTGAGTAATTTAGTCATTTCTTGTGATATGCAACTATATGTACAATGTATGTACATTGTACATTGTACATTGTACATTGCACATTGCACATTGCTAGTACTAGTATTCTAATCTAGTATATACTATCCAACCAATTTTGGGAAATCGACGGCGAGTCTAACCGGTTTATCGCCTTCTCTCATATCCCGGTTCTTCCCATTAATTTCCAATTACTATCCCGGGCGAATCTATATTAGTATATTTGAATTGACCTTTATATATCATGCATTGATTAAGTAGTCCAACCGTGCCTGACTGTCTCACTCAATTTAAAGATTTCGTGTATGGTTGGGACTTGGGGGAAAAGTGGGACACAAACCTTCACATCCATCCTCGTCTGATCCATCGGTGCAGTCTTCCAATCCGTCACAGTAGAAATTATCTGGAACACAATTACCCTTACCATCTCTACATTTTGTCAAACCATCTTCCACACACTCTGATTGAAAACATAACCAAAATTTAGTCGGGTTAACACAAATTTTGGGCTCTGAGTTTCACAGAACTGCTTTCCAGTGATTACAACGATTACCTTATCGGACTTCATTTGAAGTTTGAACAGACATTAATTGGACATTATTTGATTTCGAGTTAGCAGCTTTGACCAAAAAATTATAAGGGATTATAATTAATCACTTTACACTCGATTGTCACGTGAATTTTTTAGCACGTTTTCTTGGTGGGCCTGAATGATTATTCGAAACCCTAACCCTCTTATCTGATCCCAACCCAATCTCTACCCAAAGCTTTGCTGAAACCCTAACTCTCACGAGAAATTATACCAACTTCCTTATATGGTCATAGGGGTCGTTCACATATTACGTTATCAGCTGAGGGGGGGGGGGGGGGGGGTTCCAAATGATTACGCTAGTGTAATTTTGACACAATAGCTATGTGTAAAACTGATTACGGAGGGGGGGGGGGGGCCGGGGGGGGGGGGGGGGGTAAAAATGTTTTAAACAATGATTACGTAATATGTGAACGACCCCATATCACGTGATCGAGACAGTTTTTCGTCGATATCTCGCCAGGGGAGCATTTATTAACCCTATACTATGTCATGTGGGGTGACTCGAAATCAGCGTTCGAAAATACATCGGTCCAAGTTGGTTTTAACTGTCGAGGACCCTTTTAGAAAAATCTTGAAAATCGGTAATCACACTTTATATCGACATACACTGTCTCTCGACAACACTATATCGCCATTCGATTGGATTTTGACCGGAGAAATCCTGAAATAATAGTACAATATTGATACTATCTTGTGAAGCTAGTTCTAATACACTTTTATGCAAGTTTTGCTGGCATGCCAACGAAATTAACTTGCTCAAAGATTTAAAAACATGGCTTTTTGGCCTATATGTGGACCAAAAATTGGGTTTTAACCGGGTAAACTCAGTCTAATCATCCCAGGACCACTTTTGATAAATTATGCGGTCAAAAATACGGAGCATCTGGGGTCCCTAGCGTATCGAGCAGAAAATGCCCGTAAGGCCCATTCTACTAGTACTACAGGGCGATAAAACATGCGTGACGATATACATTATACAGTGTATGTCGAGATACACTAGTGTGCAAATCTTGAAGATCGAGAGTGTAGAAAGAAGTGTGAGTTAAACAAAGATTTACCGTATCGGTCATAATTATCACGGACATTACTTTCACGCTGAAGACCTTAGCGTGAATAATTATGTCCGTGAAAATAATGTCTGTGGCATTAAGGTCCGTGAATAATAAAGGTAATTTATTTATTAATTTTAGTGTGTGTGTTCACTGTTCCTACATATGCGTAGATATGTGTGTCTAAGCCGATTACTATATTAGTAATAGTAGGACAAATATAGTAGGACAAATATAATCACTCCTCAGTAACATTCTACAGTTCAGAAAAAGAGTAAAATACTTATTAGAAAATTACCAGGCCACTTGAACGAACACCGATGCAACAATAAGACGACATTAAGACAACAATAAGACAACATTAAGACAACATTAACCGTAACACAACAAACACCAATAAGACAACATTTTTGGGCGGTCATGAGCGTAAATAATTATGTCCGTACAAATTTGGTCCGTGAAAAACTTGTCGGTGACAATTATGTCCGATAAGGTAGTTCAAACAAACCGCCACAATTATCCTCGTCAGATCCATCATTGCAGTCTTCTTCTCCGTCACATAACCATGCATATCGGAAACAGCCGTCACCATCTGAACATTCTACTTGTCCAATTCGTGCACAATTATATGCGTCAGCGTACACTGATTGAATAACAAGGCAAAATTTAGTTCGCTATAAATAAAATAGAGATATTTGCATATTTATCATACAATTACATACCTTATCAGACGTTATTTGACCATTCTATTACGTGAACGGACATAATATTGAACGGACATTAAAATGAACGCTCAAAAGCATCTTACTATATATAAAGCGAGACGATATATATATATATATATATATATATATCGATCGCTCAGTCTGAATCCAAAGCGGCCAAATTCGCTCGATCCGACCAACACAGAGCAGAAGGAACGACCTCAACTGCACATGGAAATCTGGTTGATCACTTTGTAAAAGATTGGAGAACAGATTTAGCATCCCAAAAGAAAATGCAATTTTACTGCACTATCAAACAGGTATTCGGAGAGGAGCAGTATCTCAATCTAAAGAATAGTCAATGTCGCATGCACATAGCAAAAATCCGCTCCAGTAGCCATGACCTTCTTATTGAGAGAGGGAGATACACAAAAGAAACTGGAACGTGGACGAGAGCCTGCAGATTCTGCTGCAACAAGGATAACGTTCAAGGCTTAGAATATCTCCCCTTTTTCGAAGGAACAATCATTGAAAATGAAGAACACTGCCTCACTGAATGTCCAATGTACCACTCAGCGAGACTCTCACTGTCGGAAAACCTCAAGAGTCTTTTGCTGCTCAAGGAATACGGAGCTATCATGAATTCTGCCCATGTGCAAGAACTGGGCAAATTCCTTTGCAACTGTCACCGCATCAGGAACCCGAAAAAGACGCCAATACTGCCTGTCACCCCATCAGGACTACCAACTCAACAGACATAATATTAATACAGATCAACCATCATTATGCAGATTTCACGATCTGTTGTACGAGCATGGAACACTAGTGATTACTGTTTCCAGTACGTTGTGACTGTGAGTGGGAGGACTGTTTGAGTATGAATGTGTCTTTTGTGGACTCGAATACTAATATCGCAGTTTAGTGACCATTGAAGTTGCCTTTTACTACTTCCTCTTATGTTAAATTATTATTTCAGCAATTATTTCTATTTCGGTTGTTTGTACGGGAGTTAAACTTTAAGTGATTTTGTTTTAAATTTTCATGATTCTTGAATCTCTAATTCTACTTACTCTAGATATGTTATTCATTCATGTATAGTCGAGACGATGGTGTTAGTGCCATCTCCGACAAATTTACGTTTAATTCCGTTTAATTCCGTTTAATTCCGTATATATATATTTATTTATCCGTGCCATTTTACTGACACCACGGCATCAACTTTAACACGAATTTCTGCAAAAACCGTGAAAGATATACAACTGAAACTTTTTTGACTGGGTCAAATGCTTTAATGGCCTCCAAATCAGCATGAACAAATAAAAAATTGGCCAAGAAATAGGAGTTTTAGAGCCCAAAATTTGGTACCCCAAGTGGTGTCAAAAACGCGAATTAAATAGGTAATAATTGTTTTAGTCTCTTGAGTCTTGACACCATTTTAGGGTTAGACGGGTTCCTGCTAGTTCAGTTAATGTTGTATCACGTCGTGACCCCAATTGTCGTTTCACTAAGTGAATTTTCACCTGTATCGTGGCAAAACCAAAAGCCACGATACTGGCTTTTGGGTCTACTTTTCTGCGCGGCTGGTCAGGGTCTACAATGTGTGATAAAGTTAATGTATTTAATTATACAACTAATGTATCAGCTTCCTGAACAAATATATAGCTATACGTGAGGGAAGCGAGCAATAGACTAGCAAGCTAGGTAAGATCAAATTAAGAACTAAAACGAGCGCTCACCTATTTCGTGACAGAGCCAACACAAGGTCAAGAGAGCACCAACAAGAAGATTCATTAACCTAAATCAGAGCACAAGTACAGTTATACTTATAGTACTTCGCCATATAACGCAGACCTCGTTATAAGGCGATTTTTGAGAAAGTCTTTGGCCTCATTTACCTCGATACACGTTGAACGAAATTTTCGGCCTGCAGTCGAGCGTGCTAAATCACTCTACAGTCGATCTTCGAGATTGTTCTGAAAGGGCCCCCGATGGAAGTTAAAATTGGTCACATTCTAAAATATTTATGACTAATTCGTGGGCCAAAGGCTAGCAAATTTGGTACGTGCGTATGCCCAAATAATTCCTAGATTGTAGATCTAATTACACATTTTAGGGGAAAGAAGTACTGTGTACGGTAAATAGGGGTTTTAATGTGTCATGAAGTTATAGCTGATCAGATCTTGCAGTGGATAGAAATCTAGCGTCCGCCTACGTCGAGAAAAATGGCGCAATTTTGGTTATAATATTAGTTGTACTCCCAGCTCAGAACTCACAAAATCCTCAAAGCAGTTTGCAATAATAACTGATACACCATCGATACGACTGATCGATGCGACTGGTTATTTACAAAAGGCTCTGTAACGAGTTATTCGATTGATACTAAGAGTTGCAATCATGCAGAGGGAGTTATGTTATTATTTGATAGAGAAGCCTAGCTCCGAGCTTCTATTATATATATTCAACGAGTGATGAGTTATTTTCTGTACAAACGACACAGTCGTAAAATATAAATACACTTATTGTGTCCGAAACGCAATAACAAATAAAGTTTCATCATGGTACATAGTCATACTCAATAGTAATACTTGATTGACGATGCCAACCCTTTCTTACTGGGCGGCGCTCAGCTAGCAGCCTGTAATTCCGCCGCAGCTTTAATTTGTAATTGCAAATCGGCGGAATGAACATTATAGCCTGGAGTCCCCATGTAAACCCTTTCAAGCTCGTACTTGAATCATTAACCCTAACCATTATGGCTTCGAGGTTATACTTATGATAAGTATAATCTCGAAGCCATAACTTTATAATTATAGTTATGAGTTAGTAGGGAGATTCGGATTTAGCGTCCAAAAATACATCGATCTAAATTCTAAGTTGTTTCAACTGTCGGGGCCCTTTTAGAATTAGCTTTTTTAAATGCCTCATTTAACGTTTAACTTTAAGTCATCTTTATAAAGGGTTCCCTAATTCCCCGCTTGATTTTGATCTGCACACGAGTTGAGAACGGTAGATGAAAATCATATCATGTAGAATTTAAATTGATTCGATAGTTGGAGACAGAATGTAAACCAAAAATTTCGGGGTTGATTACATGAATTTAAACGGATACTATATCACAATTGGGTAAACAACAATGTGGGAAAGAAACAGATAATTTGAATTCTTGACGAGCAACAACTTTGGAAAACACAATTGGTAGGTCTCATTTTCACCAACTTTGTACTGAAAATTGAAGTACGTTCCTTATTATGCTAAGATTATGCGACTATATTTTAATTTAAGTTCTAAGTTGCTTCAATTGATCTTAATCTTCTATGCGACAAGGAAACAAACTCAATGATTACTACAATATTCGACTAATAGCATCAAATAAATCAAATATAAATTTTAATTGACAAAATTTAAATAATTAATATGATCAATGACCACATGAATATACGTATTATGATAATTCAAAAGTTAACGCAAGACTTTTTCTAGAAATAAATAATATTTAAAACCCTAAGCTGCATTTTGCCAGCAAAATCCCACTTTTAAGGCTATAAATTTGGGCTCTTACTAAATCGCTCGCCCCAAAAATTCCACGTGCCCCAAAAATTCCACGTGCAGTGACTTTGGTTTTTTGGTTTTGCAGCCGTACAAAAAGGTTTTACATAAAACCTAATCCCAACCCTAACCCTAACCATAACCCCGAAGCTATCCATAATCTTAACTACAACCCTAACCCTAACCCGAATCGAATTCACGTTTTACTAGCCAAAACGGTTTTTTTTGCCCATAACTCTCCAGGGAAGCATTTTAACCCTACGTCATGGGGGGTGATTCGGAATCAGCGTCCAAAAATACACCGACTTTCATGCCTAAAGGGCCTTTTCACAAGAATTTTCTTAAAATTTGGGCGAGCGATTTAGTAGGAGCGATAAATTTGTTTGTTAGTGTTACTGATAACAAGCTCACATAACCATCTAAAAGTTATACTAATAATCTCAATAAATGTGTGTGTGTGTGTGTGTGTGTGTGTGTGTGTGTGTGTGTGTGTGTGTGTGTGTGTGTGTGTGTGTGTGTGTGTGTGTGTGTGTGCGTCCAGTGTGTGCGTGTATCTGTATGGCGTGCAGGGACTGGCGTACAGGAATTCAGGACTGGTAAACGTGCCAGATAATTTGATTTTCGAACCTGCCGGCCTGCAAGTGCAACATTGCATGCATTTTTTGATTGAACTTGTTTTGTGTTTTCGCGATTTTATTTCATCATTTCAATTTGGGCGTTGTAATCTAGTAAACGCGAAAACTAAATTTGTAAACACGAATAATAAATTTGTTATACCTTTTTGGAATGATCGATGAGTTTCGCCTTACCTGGGGACCTCAGGCTATTATGTTCATAAACGAATAGAGATTCGGCGGAATGACAGGCTGAGCACGGCCCAGTAAAGTTTCGCCTAGCTAGCTAGGTGCCATATATTGTATGATGCGCAGCTTTTGGAGCTTCAGTAAGTGTAAAAGTTGCATTGCGTAATTTGACGCGGACGAAATTCGTTGATTTTCGTCGCGGTCGTATTATTATTATTCATATTTTCGGTTCCTGGAATGAGATCATTCTGAAAATGTGTTAAAACCTTCCAATCGGACTTTCAAAACTGTCCGAAAAACTTGGTGGATATCGGAGTTGGTATAGTGATGAAAATGGGGCAACAGACGTTGCTTTGAGCTGTAATATAATGTCTGATGATTGAATATGCCTCAAACTTTTCGGACCCTCAAACTTTTCGGACCCTCAAACTTTTCGGACCCTCAAACTTTTCGGACAGTTTCCTTGTAAGTCTATCAGTAAGCTAACTAATTTTTGTTACAATTGGATCGAGGGGAGGTTACTCAATTAATATGCATTTGTTTCAAGAATTTTGTGCTGGCCGAAATTAGTGCTATACTAAAAAACCATCTGCATCATACAGAAGGCACACGCGGCTCACTAGGCGCTATGCCTAACCTAGTAGTAGTATAACTATAACTGATAAAAGCTGTGTTGGAGCGTATTTTGCGCAAATTTCTTAAAATCTCCACATAACCGTTTTTTATTCCTGTCATCTTTGACATCGAATTAGAATGTTTTGAACTAAAAATAAACCTGCTGAACGACTTCCAGTTCCAATGAGAATTAATGCCTGAAAAAACAGTAAATAAAAGGGGGTATAATAGTATAGAATGTATAAGAGGCACGGTCATGCTTGCCAGCACTGTGATAGTTAGACTCATTGAAGTTATCCCAATTTTCTAATGCAGATAGTTGAGATCTTATTTGTAATGTATCGAATTAAAACAAAACGTTTATCTCAAATATAGAGAACTAGTTAATCCGGAAATGTAATCTGATAAATAAATGAAATACAACTGCAAAAATCAATTCAACTGAGGCGAAGATATCAATTGGGCTCACGAAAAAATATTCCATGCCGTGGTCATAATTCATCACATAAATTTCAGTCTTTAAACGTCTTTTATCGAATACTTCAACTATCATTCAAAGAGCACACAGCCCCTCCATGGTTAACATCAAATATTTCATCCACTCCGGCTGTAATGGCTTCTGATCGGGTCTTTCGGTAAATAAAATGAAGAAAATGCTTTCTGATCATGTTTTCCTATAAAAATTCCTATACTCAAGAACCGTTAGCTATTCACCCACTGAGTCCTGATTCGGCTTCTTCTGCCGCGGTGTAGGGGCTATAACTCTTCAACACGGTTAATGTTTTCCTCAGCAGAGTGACCATGTTAGGGTGTAGATCGGGACGCTCTGTTACTGTGAACCACACGATCTGTATCACTCCACTTCCAAGCTGGGAGAGGGGTGAGTGTGTCTCTTACATTAAGGTTTCTTTGAAGAATTTTATCTCACGATTATCATGAATATCACTAAATAAGTTTCAAATATGTGGTATTTTAACATTAATTTGACAAACCTATTAATAAATTAAATCATGATAAATTTTGTGTTTGACGTCTGATGATTAGTTGATACATAATCCGTTATCACACAGTTAAAATATAAAAGTATAAAGCACAAGTTGTTACCTTGAAGTCAGACGACATGGCATTCTGATTATCATGAACAGTTGCAGCTGAAACTTCCATCCATGAGTTATCAGTGTTCATTGGATCGTCCATGTAGGAGGACGATAACTGCCGAATATCAAGGTTTTAGTTCCGTGAAAGGTTTAAGTTCAGTTTACAAAGATACATGCTTTAACATGATAAATAACGTTAATATTTTCATATTGATCCGGAAAAACCTTCTCTTTTTAAAGAAATAAAAAAGAAGGCTCACCTCCTTATATTGACTGAAGATAGGATCTATGGAAGCAGCGATAGGTATTTGGGCGATCTTTGTCTGGTTACAGAAGTCATAACACAGATCAAGAACTACCCGCTGGTGAGCATGCTTAACAGTTTCTGACGGAGCTAGGAATCCCTGAATAGTTAAGAGGTTAGGTGAAGAATTTTTACTGAGCATTCACATTGGGATAAATATATCGAGCAAAAAATGTATGCTTTGGTCATGAAAGACTTTGACCTAAAGAGATTTTGGTCTAAATTTCGAACTAAGTTATGTCTATAAGCACTAAATTTGGCACTTAATTTGATCTGTAAGACTAAATTTTGCACAGTTTTACCTGAGGGAACATGTAATGAGGAGATCCCTCCATCTTGAGGAGGAGCACCTCCACTACAGGCTGTCCTTGTTTGTTGATAACTCCTCCGGGTACTTCACCTGAATCACTGCTGCCTGGCTGTTCTTTGTATCTGGGGGAATTGTTGTTACCAGGGTGACTGGTGAGGTATCTGGGGGAATTGTGGTTACCATGGTGACTGGTGAGGTATCTGGGGGAATTGTGGTTACCATGGTGACTACTGACTGGTGAGGTATCTGGGGGAATTGTGGTTACCATGGAGACTGGTGAGGTATCTGGGGGAATTGTGGTTACCATGGTGACTGGTGAGGTATCTGGGGGAATTGTGGTTATTTATCTCATGGGTCAGTTCAATGCTTTAATCGGGATATCATGTTTTATATGGGATAACTGAGATAACTGAATAAATCAGAAATCACCTTCACGCTCATATGAATCATCTTACCTGGTTACTATGGTAACGGCGAGTTTGTTGGGACCCCATCTAGGTAGATTACCTTTACCGATCAGGCCTGTCCTTCCTTTTGGGTTCCTACAAAATAAGAGAGTTAGATTTAGATTGCAGCTCATTAATTAAACAATGAAATGTTTGCAATCGAGGCAATTTATAGTTTCATTATCCATCGTCGATTTAAAAGAAATACATGTTCCATTTCAAGCCTAATTAAAGTTGTTAATAAATATATTTTGTTCACCGGGGAAATCCTTCGTGTACTGTGTATTTCCCTATAAAACTGATACGGTCCACTCCATCACTGTCCACATGGTTAAAACGTAGCTCGTTCCTGAAAAGTCGCGGAAATTTGCTAAACTGAAGAGATGGTTCCCATGGTTGCCATGGTGACTGGTGAGGCAGAGTTTATTTTCAGATCATCACACGATTGGAATAACTTTTTAAAACGGAAATTCTATTCCTAGAGCATAATATGGTGCTTCCAAAATCAAAAAGTCGATCAAAATCGTGGCCATTACAACATTGTTGGTACTCACGGTTTCTTAGGGTCTAGCTGTGGAATCTCTTCATTATCATACACGGGTGGTGTGTAATCAAAATTGCTCTGAACCAAAATGTTGATTACAATTCTGTAATATAATTTCTAACACTCTTACAGACAGATTAAAACAAAATGTAAAATGAAATTTGTTTGTTTAACTTGTTGTTTGTTTGACTTGTTGTTTGTTTTACTATACCTTCCATGCGATTTGTCCTTTTTCCAGTTTGAACCGCTCTATATCAGTGCCAGGATAGGGTGTTGTCAGGGCCTGACTGTGAGTAACCAAACTTCCCCATGTAGCAAGAGTGGGCTAGAATCAGAACGTTTATTAGAATTTTACTTTCTAGTACTGTAAATACTAAATTATTATTCTTGTATTTTGTGATTGTAGTAATTCATCAAAGTTTTAATTTCTTAAATCAAAGATCAATACTAATACTAATGATTGGCTAATGATTTGCTAATGATTGGCTTTGCCAGCAATAATTAAACACAGCAATGCTATTTTGGGATGCAATGCTGGCAAGGTTACAGCTTCATTTCAGCGTTGGTGTGTCCCACAATTGAGCGTTCTGCAGCCCCTTCCGTCGATGCATCAACCAAATCAATCAAAATATCACTCGACTTCACTGCAAGTGGATTCTAACTCGCAATCAATTGTAATCACCGAATATCCAAGCAATATTACGCTCTCGAGCAAAATGCAATATTGATCCTCCACACTTGTCCCCAGTGGCAGTAATACTCGTCGTCCAAATGGAACATCTCCAATAAGTTGTTTGTTGGCTTCAAACTTGCAACAGCTTCAGCTTAAAGTTAACTCAAAAGTGTCAGCAAAAAACAAATCCACAATCATCAGGTTGAACTAAAATACATTTCTTGAGCTTGTCTATGCCAGAAATTAAACTCCTATCTGATGCAACATTGTAGGAAAAGATTCCTGGCCACTATCAGTATCGTCAATATCAATATGGTGATAGGATCACCGATCAAGGTCATATGTTGATTGTTTGCCAGGCTAAAATAAATATCCGTATGTTTCCACCGCAACCAAATGTTCTGAATGTTATGAACAGTAACCCCACAGAAACCCAGCAACCACACACTAACAGTAACCCAGCAACACTCCATACCTCCTTCAGTAACCCAGCAACACTCCCTACCTCCTTCTCCTCCTCCTCCTCGGACAGCTCATTAAAGGCCTCATCGTAGCTGTTCCTTTTAGCCCGGACCCGCTCCAGGATCTCTTTAAATACACTTTGAGGGGAACCAGGGCGCCGCGGCTTGACTTGGTCCGCGCTTGTAGTGGAGTCGCGCTAGATAAATGATAATCAACATGCATAGCGAAAGATTAATTAGTTTCCAAAGATATGAAATTAATTAGTTTCCATGGGAAAGAGTTAATGATTCAATGAAACTGCTATAGAAAAATAGTATTAAGTCTTGTCAGTGTAAAAGGGACCAATACACTGACTTTAATAAGAAGAGAAGAAGATTTTATGAGTTGCAGAGGGTAGCGGAGGTGGAAGTTACCTGGTTACTATGGTAACGGCAGGAAGTCGTTAAGGTAAAGATGAATTATTTAGTCACCTTTTTTTGAGTGAATAACTCCATGGCAAAGGGGTCATGCCGAAAAGGAAGTAAGCAGATAGCTTAGCAAGGGGTTGATAAGTGTTTTGATCTCCTTCTGTAGAAAATCTTCTACAACGGGCACATGGTGCCCATATAAGGGGATGGTTGGCGTTTGAGTCAACCAGCATTCCATGTCACAAAACACACTTATTCACACTCACAGTTTACTCTCTTGTCAGATAGCAGATAGTTTGGTTTAATGATAAGATGCAAAGGGATAAACATTCCACATAACAGTGTGCAAAGCTTCATTCGTGCCTCATTCAGATGCAGGCTATCAGGCATAGATACTCATTCAGGGACTAGCAATTAGCATGCGTAACAATAATCAGTAACCAGTTAATAACTAATTAGTAACAATTTAGTACCTAATTAGTAACCAATTAACTATCATACATTGCATGCTAATCATCCTCACTAAAACACACAATTTTACAAGAATGTTTCAGAAATAGCGAATAGATTTTATGGGCTAATTAGAGTCCTATATCAGGGATCACAGTGTGACAGTGATTATTAGTAGCTGTCACGTGATGCCCATATAAGGAGCAAGTAGCAGGGCGTAATCTGTACGTTCACGTAATCACTCTTGCCATGCACCATAAAAAACCTCTCTTTCTGAGTGGGACTGCTCGATTTGCTGAAGTGACTGGGGCTTCAAATGCGCAAGAATCGCTTTAGGGGTTCTTGCGGTCCACTTCAAATCGGGTTTTGGTTTTTTGGAAGCCGTCTCTTCCTGATGAGTTCAAGTGTAACGATGGGAGGCCGACAAAGGGGGACCCTCGATTATCAGGGTCAGATCATTTCACCAAATAGTGACGTATAATTAGTATGTGATCCATCAGTAGTGATGTGATCCATCCGTAGAATTTAATTGACCCTGAAATGGGCTAGATCTGGGGTAGAGTTCACATGTCAATTCTGTAAATCATCACGGGACATTGTGGCCTCAACAAACACCTACACACCATTCACAAATCAGACACAAGTGCTTGTCCTAAATGCGGCGACGGAGAGGAGACTGTCTCACACTTTCTCGGACAGTGCCCGGCTATTGCCCAAATAAGAGGTCAATATTTCCGGGACTACTACCTCTCTGTCAATGACATATTCGACAACCAACACATCTCCACCATTGTCAACTTTACAAACCACACTAAACGCTTAGTGGTGCCGGAGGAGTTGGACCAGACAGGTGTAACATAGCGACTATTTTAACGCCGTCTTGTTTCGCCCCTCTCTTCCACACTCAACCACCACTTAAGCGTTTATCTATGACACACCTCACAACACTTACCATCATCCTTGATTACACATCTTGATTCCACTGGCATCCTCCCACAGGACTGCCATACCCCAGAGGTAGGCAAAGCATCCATATGCTATCCTCTCGTGGGCCAACCAGGCCCAGCCTCTCTAAAAAAAAAAAAAAAATCATAGCTGTATATTACAAAGTAAACATGATCTGACTGCTCGACTCGTAGATCACATAGACGTACGTGCCAAAGGCATGCAAGGGGAGTGAGCCGATCGAGTGTTCTTAGGTATATATACTAGAATGTGAAAGACAATAGCATTCTCACATTCTATCAACATGCCTACCTTCTCCTGGTCGGACAGGATCTCAACAGCTACTCTAATGGATACATCTACTTTCGGAGGAAGGACAAGGATTCAACCCTCACATCTGCCTGGCGGTGCTGCAAGCACAAACTTCCCACGAAGTGCCCTTGTATGTGTTATCTCTCCCTATCCGACACTTCTCTCCGATCGAGTACGAAGACCCACAACCACCAGTTAACCAGACTCTCCCCAACATCATGTCCCTGGCCAGAGTGATCCAAAGTTCCAGAACTACAGCGTCAGGATCCTCCTAACACCAGGAGGCTACTACCATGGTAGCTGGTGGATCACATCACTAATTATACGTCACATCATTAATTATACGTCATATGATCTGACTCCTAATAATCGGGGGTACCCCTTTGTCGTGCAGTAGTAACGATCACACGTTGCGTAGTAACGATCACACAGATTGTTGCTTAGTAACTATCACACAGATTGTTGCTTAAAGACTTTTTGGATGGTGCTTCAGTCAGTTTCGATCTGTGAACCTGAACCCCGAAGTGGGTTCATGTATTGGAGAAAGTTTTAGGGATTTCATCAATATGCTGTAATATTATATTATATTCTGTTATATCTTATAAAGCATTAGTTGCATTGGAGCAAGTTTCATGAAACTCTTTAATATAATATTATGATATATTCTTTTAAAAGAGTTGAAGCATCAGTTGTCGAACAATAAGTTATCAAAATAGTCAAAAGTTAGTGCAAAATTGGCCGAAGAAGACAACATTATTTATAATCATGTTTCTGTTTATATCAATTATTACAAAATTGACCCAGGAATAAACCTCAAGTCGATAAAATAAAATAAAATTGGTTTTAATCATTGAAAAACTGAGTGATACTGTAGTACTACTTAAAAATCAACTTATCAATAATTTAATCCTTCCTTTAATTTAAACTGTTAATCTGGCTAATTATCTGGCTAAATATCTGGCTATTACCGTACCTTCGTTTTGCCCTGCACCCTCTGCTTCAGGAGATCTGATATTTTAGATATATTCTCCGTAGCTACCGTCAGCTGGCCCTCAAGACGGTTAATCTTAGCAGAGAGATCAAGGTAGTGCCTGTGACAGTAATCAGTAATCATGTCTGTTTATAAAATCATTCAGGTTAATGTTAGTACGGTTTATTTTCTGCGAACAGTTATTTGTAACAATCTTCTTTTCATTTCTATCCGACCAGCATAACCAAACCGATTATAATGAATAATGCTTCATGAATAACTGCGTATTGGTATTTAATCTGCTAATATATCATTAACGAAGATGGGTATTTTATGAAAGAGAGGAGGGAACCTTATTATGTTATTGCTGATTTGAGTTTACACCGCACAAGGTTTAATTGATATGAGAAATAAAACAACCGCATGTTTCAGTCAGACAGTTCAATATCTGGAAAGCAACATATCCGGACAATACGGGACACTTCCAGACACTTCCGGGGGCCTACAACCAGCTCCACGACCATGCTCACACAAAATTTAAATCAACTGTCACACTGACGTTTAGCATTAGTAGGCCGTGCTGTTCGGTTTTAAGTTCGTATCGGATACGAACCAAGAACCGAACCGATCCTGACTATTATACAGTGTTACAATTCGAAAAGATGCCACACAAAATTCATCAAAAAACGACATGAGCGCAGTCTTTGTAAGCCACATTCTGCAGATACGTTTAAGCAAATTATTTGTTTTTGCCAGCCTTGGCAGTTACAACCAAGGCTGAGAGCTGGCACGTGATGCCCATATAAGGCGTTTACAACCAAGGCTGTGAGCTGGCGTAGAACTTTTCAACATCGACTACGGAACGTAGGTTATGGCTCTTTTCAGAATTCATAACTGATGGACTGAAACATGGACCTTTTTTAATTTGTGCACTTTAGTTCACATTTCACTTTTCACAATTTTCGGAAATTGCTTAAAATCATGAGCGGTGTTTGAAATCATATTATTGAAGATATGCTGTGTCCTCCGATTGTAGTGACAATGAAAGATTATAAACATTTAGAAACAATACTTACGAGGAATCCGTGCCTGTGCTTTCGCTAAAAAGAGATTATATCAAAAAAGATGAAAAACATTGAAAATGCTTGATAGTTTGTTATCACAAGTTAACAAATGATGCTGTATCTTATATTTGCTCCAGTGGTGTGTTTCTATAAGTCTAAAATTCCCAATACAATAATCCATGCAAAGAAAATATAGTAACATTACAGTTACTAAAGTGACGCTATATTAACGTTTAGTTGTGCAACTCACTTAGTCATGGTGTGGGAGATCATACGGTCTCCAGAATCTGACTTATTTTGTCTTATAAACTGAGCTCTACATTCCGCCTCCATAAGAGAAGATCTGTATGCCATCGAGCTGTGTCTGTTGGGCATACTAGAAACTGAAAGAGAGTTTGTAATGGTCGTCATAGTGACATACTAGAAACTGAAAGAGAGTTTGTAACGGTCGTCATAGTTACATGATGTAACGGTCTGAAATGTGCTTTCTAGGCGAAGAGGGCTGGTTGTATGAACAAACTAATATTATAAATAAACAGTGATAATAATCACACAACATTGGCAAATTTTCCTAAAAATACAACACCCGTAGAAAATAACGACCCTACTAACTCATTTTTTGAAGATCTTTTTCATAGTTTATCTTTTTAATGTATCGTCTGTATACAAATTTAGATGTTTTAAATAAAAAGTAGAGGAGTGAAACAGGGTTGGGGAGTGGTGGTCTTTCTCTGAACTCGAGAATCATCTCAGCTCGTTGAGTCTTGTAGATGATACCTGGTACAAGTATCATTAGCTACTTGTGATGAGCGTTAGCTGACGTTTGGTATGAAATAATAATGTAGACATGAAAACGACGGTTCTCGAGGCGACCCGCTTGCGAGTAATGATGAGTTCCTTGGACGAATTGTACCAGGTTGCCAGATTTAAAACAAAATTTTTTGGAATATAAAAAAACGCTTTCAAGATTATCTTAAAAGAACAGAATAATATGAACCTGATTGGGTTTCTACATTCTCGTAAGTGTTTGAGAATATAGCGATGAGAAGATTTATAAGCATGATGTTCACAAAGAGGAGGTAAAGTGAAAGGAGGGTGAATGCCACGTAGTAGTTTACTCTTCCCACCTGCAAGTTGGTTAGTTAGACTGCATTTAAAACTGATTTATATTGATCAAAGGTGTTTATACTTTATGACGAACGATTTCTGTGTTGTTTTGATCAATCAATTAGTGGATATCTAGATTAACTTAAATTGTATAATGCTGTCTTTAGAAATATTTAAAATCACAACAGTGAGAAAAAAATAAATATCACCTCAGTGTGTAACAGACTTTTAGCAGTACATTCTGATGGCTTGGCTATTTCAGAATCAAAGATGGTTGAGTCCCAGGCTCTACAATGACCTGTAACATTTGTAGGCTTCATGGATATACCGTTTATAGCACGATCGCAAATAAAACTGGCCGTTAAATGCTGAGGATTGTAATAGAAATTAGAAGACGAGCTTTTTGGGGCTGTTATTAATATATTATAATTAGTTAATTAATTTATTATAATTAGGCTGTGGCAACGAATATTGTGGGAGAAAAGTAGCAAACATGGTTGTTAAAATATTAAGATATCATTTCATAAATAAAGAGTTTTAGTCAACAAACCCGTCTTCAGGTGCTCATCAAAGCCATCTAGATCTATCTCTCCGAACACATTCAGATAAGACCTTCCCATGAGCTCGAATATAACCTCACCGACACTGGTCTCACGAAATGGGTAAAGCAATGCTTGGGACGATACACCATAAGCAATTGTAAAAACCTGAAAACATGTGTTAGTCAGTTCACCTTCAGTTTATTCTTCTTGTCATCCCAATTTTGTAAATCATATTAAATATCAGCTTCGCAGCTTTGAGCTCTAATGCTGTCTGCAAAATGATAGAATAAATGAGCTTTTGAAGATAATTACCATTAAGAGAAAGAGGAAGAAAAAGAGATCGATGGACATTTTTTTAAGCATGAAAACTTTGGGTCCAATCTGATCGTTAATCTCAAAGAGCTGCACGAATCGAAAACAGTAGAAAGAAAAGCACATTGCTGATAGGAGCCTGTTAGCGTGATAATTCCTGACGAATAATAACATTATTTATAGAGTTAGTGGCAATCAAGCTCCCTCCGTACAATACACTTTACTAAGTTTACTAATCCCTACCGTTCACAGTGTATTGTACGGATATGTGCGGATATGCACATATCTGCATAAATGCACATATTATACAGATATCTGGATAAATGCACATAATATGTACCTATGCTTTGTTACGACATACAAATCAAGAGATGCCGTTACAGTTCTTGTAGTGCGATGCACGACTGGCCGCGCCGCGCATCAAACAACGCTTCTCGTGGTGGAGAGATTAGAGAAACATTATTTGATGCGCGGCGCGGCCCAGTAGTGCTTCACATTACAACCCCAGTTCCAATTACCGCTAATAGAAACATGAAGAAGAGCAGGTCTATAGCCATTTTCCCCACTGTAACTATTTTTGGACCAATGTTGGGATTAAACTGCAGCTTCTTCATCAGCCCAAAGTTGAAAATACCGAAGGCTAATGCAGATAGTAAATTGCAATATTGATATGACCTGTAATTTTAAGTTACTTAAAGTTGATATTTACTTAATGTTTACATGTCCTGTAAATTTAAGTTATTTAAGTTGCTTAATGTTTATATGTCCTGTAAGTTTAAGTTATTTAAGTTGCTTAATGTTTATATGTCCTGTAAGTAAAATCGAAGGTACCATAAAGGCCAATGCTGACAGCATATTGCAATATTGTGGAATATAAATATTCAATATAAGCCTCAGAAACCATGTAAGATGTAAACCATTTGCATTGTCCTATTAAGGTCAGAAAGAGGGTTATCGTGCAATCAACTTTTTTGGATGTAGCTTGGTTGGGTCGTTCTGTCAAAAAACGTTAATCGAAGAAGAATTTTCGTAATAGACTCTTTCAAACTAAGTAATATGCATCAATTTAAATATAAATTAAGCTGTGATATTATAAAGCTGAACTGGTTTAAAGTTGTCTTACCCGAAATGGTTAAGATTCATGCTGCTTCCTATTGTACAATCGTTACTGTCTCCTTCAGCCAACTGAATTAATTCACGATAGATAGTTTTACCACAAATACATAATAATATCGAATAATCTATATCATTCCAGACATTAATGTTTAGCCACAAGGAATTAAATTTAACAATTGATTTAGAATTGGCAGTTTTTTGAAAATTCTCAGAGTCAGTTCAACCAAACGAAATACTCATAAAAATCCAATCATAATACTGGACCACTTTTAATCGATTCAACGCTCTTTTAAACGACTGGCTGAACTTACTGGGAATGTTGGAGCAGTAGTATTAAACGGATTAAACGAATTAAACGTAAACGTCAACGGGAGCCCTAACACTCCTGACTTGACAATACAAGAATGAACGATCTTTAAAAAAAAAACAGAAAATAAAAAGTACAAAGAAAAGAGGAAAAGGATCAAAAAGTATGTTGCACTTAAAGTATAAGCACTTGTTTACCTTGGAGCTGGAGCAGTAGTATGTTGCACTAAAAGTATGTTGCACTAAAAGTATAAGCACATGTTTACCTTGGAGCTGGAGCAGTAGTATGTTGCACTAAAAGTATATTGCACTAAAAGTATAAGCACTTGTTTACCTTGGAGCTGGAGGGGTAGTATGTTGCACTAAAAGTATGTTGCACTAAAAGTATAAGCACATGTTTACCTTGGAGCTGGAGCAGTAGTATATTGCACTAAAAGTATGTTGCACTAAAAGTATGTTGCACTAAAAGTATAAGCACATGTTTACCTTGGAGCTGGAGCAGTAGTATGTTGCACTAAAAGTATGTTGCACTAAAAGTATAAGCACTTGTTTACCTTGGAGCTGGAGCAGTAGTATGTTGCACTAAAAGTATGTTACACTAAAAGTATGTTGCACTAAAAGTATAAGCAGTAGTATGTTGCACTAAAAGTATGTTGCACTAAAAGTATAAGTACTTGTTTACCTTTGAGCTGGAGCAGTAGTAAGGAGTAGAGGCTTTGAGTGCGAAGGCAACCATAAACATGCACACGGCTATGAAGTCCATTAGGTTGTACGTATCTGCAAAATGGTCTACAACCTTCTTTAGGTTGCTTTTCGTTCTTCCATTTCGAATCTGATAACACCAAAAGGTCACTTGATTACTGATAAGTAAGCTGCCGTTCCTTTTTAAATTCTTTGAAAGTGTAGCTGCATGAATTGATAGAATTGTCTGGGATGTTGTTGAAGCACTTATTTTCAGATATATAGGGATCCAAAAGAGATGGATAAGTAGAGGAGTGGTAAAAATACATGAAAAGTAAAAATGTGTGCTTTACAAATACAAACTGGTAAAACAACTCAGAATTGCAGCTCTGACCTGATTTATTTCAACGGGCACAGTTGAAAGGACAAACACTATCGTATACAGGTCTTGCCACTCGAGTCTTGAGCCGTTTTGGCTGATCACCAGACTTTTATCATCTACTAACAGACCGTACCTGTCATTATTTGCCAAGATTTAGTTTTGATGTCCACAGAATCGGTTTAGTCTTCGATTTATAGATGTAGATTAACCAACTCAAGATCGTTTCAAAGTTCATAAATCATAGTTAGAGGCGGTCCGTGTAGGCCTTACACTGTGCTTTCAGCAATACTCATAAGTATTTCCGTGGCTGTGGTTGCAATGCGCCTAGTCTACTGGAATGATTCTTCGGAATTTCGCTGGATTGTACAACTTTCGTCTTGGTAGATTCCAAACACAAGGAAATTTTCCCTTTGGTTGGTAATATACTCAATGATGGAAGTATAGTGTATTGGCTATGCCCCGCTTACTAGTTTAGCTCTTTCTAGTCCCCTGCTACACGGCATGTAAACAGGGATTGGCTAGTTAGAGGCGGTCCGTGTAGGCCTTACACTGTGCTTTCAGCAATACTCATAGTAATATTTAGATTGATTGAAATATCTTAGTCCTTACGATAGAGGACGGAATGTTAGCTTTTAAAAAATTAATTTAATTTTTTAAAATTTGATAACGTTAGAAATTAAGAAGTGACTAAGTTTATCTTACCCGTATAAAAGAAGGAATGCTAAATAAGTGAGGGAGTTAAGGTAAAACTTGATAACAGGGGAGGTGTAGAAGTAATATAGCTTCTCTTTGAGATCAGGACTGCGCACTGAGTCGCCGTCATCACTATCATTTGCCCCTGTAGCTGAGGCAAACTCAACGTCTTCGTTTACTCTCTTGCGGGCTCTTGTCTGAAATTTTTAATTTATAGAGGTTATAAAATATATCACCGTCTTCTTCTCAATTGAAAGTATTAAAATAAGCAATCCCAGTTTGGTAAATAAAGTTAAAGGTAATGAGTCGCTCACTGTTATTTCTTGTCCCCGGAGGATCTTCCTTGCTAGATCTTTCTTGGTCATGGGTAGTTTATTGTACGGTAAGAATATTGGCAGTGGTGGGACCAGGCACACAAACAACTGAAAGAGTTGATACGACGGTAAAAAACAAGCTTGGGATCAGTTAAAATGATTTCATACCCTTAATTTACCTTCGACTGACACAATTATTTAGATTAGGTTTTGTTGAACATGTAATTTGTATAATGAATTATCACGTCATACGGTGGCGTATTCGATTGACACAATTATACACTTCAGAGAATCTAAGATTTGATTTCATTTAATAAAGCCTTAGATTTTGTTAATTATAAGATAAAGTACCCGTCCGGCGTTGATAGTAGGTTTAAGTTGTCCCATCCAGAGGTCTGTCAGGTAACTCTGATACGCGGCATGTGCGATGAAGTTCTTCGCTTCGATTATTGTTGCTAAATCAAACAGATTTAATCCTCCCCATTCTGAAGAATAGTAACGCGTTTTTTACAAAATGAAGATTATTTCTTTTTGAAGAAATAAGAGGGATAACGGTGGGATACTTCTTCAGTCGTTAATTTTAGAATTTTTTATACTCGACTAAATGAGGGGTAGACAAAAACCTATTCCATTTGAGCTTTTGTTACCTTTCAAAGGAACAATTAAGATTTGTATCCAATCGGGCTTGTCGTAGTTATGATAACAGATTGTCATAAGTCCGCACGCTAGTTTTTCAAACTCCCTGATATGTTAGAGATCATGAGTGAATATTTAAGGCAATTTTCCGGAATAAAACAAAATCATCCTACGCATGGCTTATAAAATGGTCATAAAATATTAATTAAATGGTCATAAATCTAAAATCATCATAAAATGGTCACAGCGGCAGGTTTGATAACTCCCAGTAAAGATAATAGTGAGAGAATAACCAAGCTTGTAAATTGCGTATGTGTCAGATTAGTCAAACCTCGCAGAAGTTTCAAGCTTTTCTGTCATTTCTTCATCCACACGTGCCCACTGACTTTCCATTTTGTCCAGGAATAAAAATATCTGCAAATAATTCCACTTGTTACGATGAGAAAAATCTGAAAAACTATGAATGTAAACGTGTTGGTCTGGATGAATCATCTATTAAACAATTCTGTTATAAAGTTAACATCCAGACTTCAGTAAAAGCACATTCGATCCTGTTCAATGTCTCAAAATTCATTGTACAGTCTTATAGTGTAAGTGATTGTAATTCCTTGATTCAGTAATTAAAGTAGTTTTTTAATACTTTCAACACAACTATATAAGGGCCTGCCCTCACTACGCCATGTGGCGACGGGCCACATGGCCCGATTAACCTAAACACACTGTGCCACTTGGCGTGGATTTAGCAAATCCGCGCCTCTATTCAGAGGCACGGATTTCCTGCCCACACTACGCCATGTTGCGACGGGCCACATGGCGTGGGTCAAAAGGCACAGTGTGGTTACAGCTCCCGCCACTAGTCAACGGATTCACACAACGAGGCGCGTAGTGTGTTTAGAGCTACCGCCAGTTGGCGTGGGAACTCTCGGGGAATAGAGGCACGGATTTTTAAAATCCGTGCCTCTATTCCCCTTGCTAAATCCACGCCAAGTGGCACAGTGTGTTTAGATAGACGGGCCACATGGCGGGAGCTCTAAACACACTGTGCCATTTGGCCCGTCGCCACATGGCGTAGTGTGGGCAGACCCTAACATTGAAATGTTGAGCAATTCCTTTTCTGATAAGAGCATTTTTCCTTGTCGCATCAAACGGGATCAATACAAATTTTCACAAGAATACAATTAAAGTAGCCTACTACTACAACACCTTGTGCACTATAAGAGATGTAGCTATGGGCGTCCTGGAGTTCTCCCAAAAGAACTTAGCCATGTCTGGAGCGTCGATGAGAGCAGAATACAGCATCATCAAATCGTAGGGATTCTGCAACAAATATTTGTATGATTGTTATAGATTTGTTATTAAGGATTTGAATTATTTAACTGGTAGCAATCATAGTAAAAAAAAGTAATGCATCAAACATATCAACATGTTATCCCTTTATAAAAATTCTATACACGATCCTTATTTCATCAACAAGTTAAAAATCATGTCATCAAAATGCTAATTTATTATTTATGTCAGAATTATGCCACGAAAAGATCTAATTTCTCACATCAAATCTGTCGTCCTCCCTCATGTCCTGGTTATACTTCTCCTGTGTTAGAAAGGAATGGAATGTACCCTCCATAATCCTCTCCATCAGTTCACCTACGTCTCTTAATGACACCTGTTTTTAGTGGTTTTTATCAAATTATATGAAATTATGTGTCATGTCTAATTATATGTGTCATGTCTGATTATATGTGAAAATTAGTGAAATTATATGTATCATATCTAATTTTGTCATAAATCCATAGAGGAAATAATCATCACATAGCGATGGTTTAGTGATGTTTATCTTATTGTGTGTAGCTAGCTATATGAGTATATGTGTCATATTTAAATATATGTGAAAATTAGTTAAATTATATGTGTCATATCTAATTATATGTGAAAATTGGTTAAATTATATGTGTCAATTGTCACGTCTAATTAACGTGAAAATTGGTTAAATTATATGTGTCATATCTAATTTTGTCATAAATCCACAGAGGAAACAATCCTCGCAAATCGAAGTGCATATTAATTTTATTTTCGGTTTTAACGTTGAACAAGTTAAAACTGATCAGTAGTAAAACTAACCGCTCTATCGAATCTTGTGAGCAACTTGAAAGCTCCTGAGTTTTTAGGGAGGATATTGTAAAGTTTAGTGAGACTGGGAGCAGTGAGGAAGTTCTTGAGGTCAGCACCGTAATCCAGCAGCAGTCGTATAAAACCAACCCGCCGGTTGATTATGGAGAACATCAGGAGTGAGTTTAACTCGTCTGGCTGAAAGTTGTGTTATTATGTTCATGTATAATGTATAATGTATAATGTATAATGTATAATGTATTATGTATAATGTATAATGTATAATGTATAATGTATAATGTATAATGTATAATGTATAATGTATAATGTATAATGTATAATGTATAATGTATTATGTATAATGTATAATGTATAATGTATAATGTTAAAAGATGCTAGATTATATTTTATATTGATAGCTATTCGATTAGAGAATACATTAGTTAGTTTATAAAGATACTATATTATATTCTAAATTACTAGTCAGAATTACTAATTAATACTAATTACTAATTAATAGTCACACTTACCCTGAACTTGTAATCCTTCTTCTCAAATATAAGCTCCTTAGCCACTTTCTCATGTCCCCAAGTTATGGCCAGTTTTAGTTGCCTCATTCGAGCTGCACTCTCCCCTATGCTCTTCATCAGGGAGGATAAGATAGCAAAGTCTAATGGCTCTGACCCGTCTATCTTGTATACAGTTATCTGTAAATATGAGATTAAACCTCTGTTATCTGTAAATATGAGATTAAACTTCTGTTATCTGTAAATATGAGATTAAACCTCTGTTATCTGTAAATATGAGATTAAACCTCTGTTATCTGTAAATATGAGATTAAACCTCTGTTATCTGTAAATATGAGATTAAGCCTCTGTGGAGCATCAGTGGCGTAACGTTACTTTTTGGCGCCCCCCGCTCAACTCAAAAAGCGCCCCCCTTTCTGGAGCGCGCTCGCTTCGCTCGCTAGATTTGTCCGAGGGCCGTTGCCATCACAATTTTTTAATTTTAAAACAGAATATAAATGTGTGCCAATAAAATTTAAATTTGGAAAGTAACAAGCCGCGCGCAAATAATTTTACATGTAAGCCGCGCGATTTAGTAATTAAATCGCCAGTAATTTGCGCATGATTGTTTTCGCGTTGGATAAAATATTATCTCGTGATACATGTTAACGGTTGTGATTGGACTATGCAGAGGGACGACGCGTTAGGGTAATAATAAATGTATCATGTACTGGACACTAATCATGCTATACTAATGACAAGTCGGTTACACAATGTCAGAATCTTGTTCGCTTTTCATTGTCGTTTGACATTAGACATTACATCCGAAACAGCCCGCAGCCGTTAAGTAATTTGTCATTCGTCTGATTAGTGATGTTTCTGTTAATTTGTGATAAACAACGAAACAATTTTGTAAATTGTGTGTATTATATATTGTTAGTGTAACGAGGAGAACTGTTTTAAGCTGCTGTATATGTTAAAAAATGTATATTATATTAAGGTTACCGGTTGTTCATGTAAATTGTAATCATCAATGGGCCATGGGGTAAAATATCAAATATGCCGTACTAAGTTTACGCGAACATTTAACATTATGCGAATGTATGTTATTATGAATATCCTCACAGCTGGTCGAATATGTTAATGTAGAACTGCATTGGGAGTCTGGAAGGTGTACAATCAATTTTTACTACTGAGTTGTTTTAGCAGTTTCTACTTTTAGCTCAGTCTTTATTACGAGGAACTGATTCGGTGGAGATAAGTTAATTTTGTAGAACTCATTGTTCAGTGGGTCGATTGACTGAACACGTTTGCACTTGGTATTTAAACTTACCAGTAGTTTATTTATGTTATGTAGCGATGATAATTCAATTAGGATAACAACTAGGTAAGCCGTAAGTCTAATTCAAAACACACCGCACACCGTACACTCCAGTCTCCAATCAATATTACTATTTGGTAGACCGGGTATTTTGGCGGGAATTCTGTTCCCACGGCACTGTTCTGATAGAAGCTACTTCTACTAATGGTCCCAGAGGAACGGTCGTAAAGTAGCCAGACTTCTTGTCTCCTGTACTGGCTGACACATGCGGATTATAGTTGGAAATTTCGCTATGATATAAATATAATTGCTCTCGGAATTGAACAAACTCCTACTTATCTAGATACTTTCTAAATTCGTTAGAGTTTCATGGACTGGGGAAAAATAATCGGTACAGTCTCCCTGCATGGCATACACAGCTGACTAACACAGTCACTCAAATTTTAGAATTATGACTATTACCCTAGTTCTCTAAAATCCTTATAGTTTTGGCTATCATCCTAACTAAAGGAATAGCTGATTGGATGTACAGTGCTCACGTCATGATTTTAAACAGTGATATAGGTTCTTGAACAGTGGCGGATGAATGTACGGTTAGAAAGTTTCTGCTATTACAACTTATGTCATATGTGATAATTTTGGATTGTTTTCATTGCTTAATTACACAAGCAGGGAGCTGGGAGACTGTTACCGTGAGTATTTAAACATTTGCAGGTTCATTTCCATAAATGTCCATCAATGACTGGACTACACAACTTTACAGTTAACTTTAGAGAAACTCATAAGTCATTTATCTCAAATTAAGCTGTTAGTGTCCATGATCAACGGTCAACCTGTGGCGACAATGAGTAATATAAAAAGTGTATTTGTAGATTAAAGTGCTAGCTCAGAGTTTTAGAATTGTATGGATTAAAGTTGGTTGTTTAGCCATCTAACAATCGATCGTGCTGTAATATATGGCCAGAGAATAATAGGGTCTTGGAAATTCTATAGTTGTTCTGAATTGAGCATGACCTGCAAGTCTGGGCCTTCGTTGGGTGATCTTTGAGCTGACTTTGAGAAGTTCACTGTACAGGCTGTGGTTGCTGACATGGTCTCGATATTGATTGAAGTTAAGGGCCATTCATAACATTCGCGAATAACAACCATCAACCATCTTCTCCAGCCTTTTCGTCAAAGCCTCGGAACCGTACAAAAACACACACTCGACAAGTGCTGTAAACACTCTGATCTTGATAGACTTCCTAAGCTTATACCTTTTTTTCTGCGTGTGTGGCATGCTCCCCATGCTCTTGATTTCCCAACCCTGATATCACTCTCACTATCTCTGATTCTGGATCCCAGATAGATGAAGTCTTCGGTCTTCCACATGCTCTATTGTACTGTTACCCAGGGACTTGATGGAATCAGGGTTCTCGATGTTCTGAGTAATGAATTTGGTCGGGACTGGTAATAAATATCATTAAACTGCTGTTTAACTAATTGAAGGTAAGGTACAATATCGTTGCACAGTGTTTGTGATGGTGACCTTATATATTATACAATTGAAAAGTGCGTGTGTGAGCTGTACTCACTGTACTGATTGTCCATTATCTAATGCTGTTAGCGAGTTTTTATGGTAGTATGGTTGTTACCAGATGATGATGTTAAACATTTAAATGTATACTTTTCTATTTATTGGTAGTTGTTCAAATGATTATTGTTATTTGTTAGAACTTGCAGTTGTAGCCGACTTTGTTTTGCTGCCAGAAGTAGTAATGATTTGAAATGGCTGTTGTATGGTGTCACAACTAGTAACTACAAAGAGTGACCTATTTTTGTAGGAATTGTTTCCGTACGTTAAAAAAAATGTATTAATGAACAAACCTTTACATTAATGAAATTCCCGGATATAGCATGTGTTTATATGAACTACATGCCGAATGCCGATATGTGTGGAGTGTGGTTGCTCAATGTATATGCAGAGTTGGGATGTGACTGAAAACATTGAAGTAAGTATTAAGGTTTATTTTGAATCATGTAAATAGCTTTAATATTGTGGCATCTGTGGAGTTATGTTAGGTATTATGCCATGTGGTGAAATTTGTAGAAGGAAGTGGTTTACAGATTTATTTGTAAATTAACATCAAATTTCCCAAATCAGGTTTCGTTACGGTTGGAAGATGTCATGTACATAGTACATACTAAGCAAAATGTGGAGTCAATTGTACGCTGACGAAAGCTGCAAAACAACTGAGCCAGCTCCACAAGCACGACCTGACTGAAGAATTAAATCTTTCGCTACGTAGCTTGTCAGCCTTCAAGTTGATTTTGGTGCCAATCTGAATAACTGTACAGGCCCCAGCGACCCAGCAACTGGCAACACTGTACTCAGAGGTAGTAACAGCACTGGCACTTTATCTCACTATCTCGGTTACAGTAGGTCTTAAGACAGTCTATATTTCACCAAATAGAACTCCCGAAGAACGTATCAGCCGTCAGAAACTCGTTACCGAACTAAAGAAGAAGCGATCAGACGACCCGTCTGGAAGCTATTTCATACGGAAGGGTGAAATAGTGAAGGCTGATAAATGAACTTGAAGATTTTGTATCGTGTGAAATGTTTTGTCTGTGCATTTACGAGTGTGCCTCTCGATTTATCATATATTTTGACCACAGCTTACAATTCATGATTTGCTTTTAATTTTGTTATATTGAGTATCACAGATCACATTTCATTCTTGCTTGAAGGGCCCATCTTTTGCGAGCGTGACTTGTCATGCATTCATCGTGTTTTGGTGTCCCGTCATTATTTACAGACGGAAGCATGTTTTTACCAGTTTTATTTTCTGATCGATTTATTGCTGTTCTGTAAATTTTGAAAAGATTTTCATAAAAAAAAAGCCAGTACTGAAAAATCCTTTAGCAAACTGAAGCTATTTAAAAACTCCGAAGCACAATGGGTAACTAAACGATTTACGATAGATTAAGCAGTTTACAGTTTAGCCATCATCTCAATCGAGAACTTAACAGCAAGACAACTTGACAAGAAAGAGCTGGCCAAATTTGATGCTTTTTCCAAACCTAAGAGAGTTGCTTGGAATATGAACTGTACGGTAATGTAAATATTATGTATTATCGAAAAATGTAATTTGTTTTTTATTTCCATATTTTTATTTGTTATTGCTACCTGTTAGATGTTGGTGTTTTATTTGTGAAGTATCATAATACTACAATAGGTGGCTGCCGATTAAATTGGGATCTAAGTTAAAAGTAAACATTGATATATAAAATTGCCAGAAAATCAAAACATTCTCACGCGCGAATTTTGTGTACCACGTTTGTATAACAATTGCAATATCGTTATCACTTACCACGTGTTTTTTGCGCGCGCTGGCTGCTTGCTTTGCACTATATTTAATTTTAGAATTTTACAAATCTTAGAACAGTAGCACGATATTTAACAACTTTTGCACCTTATATACCAAGTATTTTATTACCAGGGGCGCCATATTTCTAGGGGGCGCCAAATTATGAGGGGGCGGCAGAATTTTGGCGCCCCCCTCTCACGGCGCCCCCCCCCCGCATAGCGGGGTCTGCGGGGCCTTACGTTACGCCACTGTGGAGCATGCCGGCTGCATGGGTATAATGCTTGTCTTAAATGAAAAGCTCGAATAACTTGACTACAAATTTTCCATGATTCAAATTTTTATTGAAATTGTATCTCAGATTTTCACACGATCTAAATATTGTCCCGTTATAAAAATTTAACCTGTTTCTTGAAGGAAGCGATTTCCACCACACTCTTCAGCAGCTTCTCAATCATGGAGTTCTCAGTAAACTTACTAAAGCACGCCTCCAACATGTCACTGATATCCCTCTTTCCTTCCTCGTTTATCACACCCCTCACTACAAACTCTCTGAAGTGTATATGGGTCATGGGTCAGTGGTTCGTGCTTTTTGTAGCTCGGTGATTGAAGACATTGTTTTTAGTACTCATCGATTAGCCCGGTTCATTAAAAAAAATTTATCAAATTAAATTTCTTATACCTTACTCGGGAATATTATAACCGGGATAAAGTGGTGGGTTTTGGAAGATTCCGCCATATTTTTCCCGGTCAAAAATTTTACCAGTCATAAAAAAACCCGCCGACTCAGATTATGGGGTTCCAAGGGGGTGGTGATCATCATATTTTACCTGAAGTCTTATATGTGCTAGAGAAGACTTTTGAAGCAGTGGATGGAGGGATGTAACTTTATTGGCGGTTGCTACCATAATTTCGTTTAAAAAATCACAATTTGGTTATAGAAATCAGATTTCAGGGTGGACCGTGATTATCACTTTTCTTGCCCATGAATCAGTGAATTCATGGTCCACGGTGGATTGATTACTGGAGCAGTTGAAGATGCAAAGCCAATACGTTCCCCAATACCAAGCGGTGGGCAGGAAATTAAGCTCCGGCAGACCTTCAGAGCAGTAGCCCCATTAGCGGACAAAATGAAAGTCTTGTTAAGACAACAATACAACTTCGAATTTGACGGTCAGCAGCAGGGGGATATCAATAATGATAATGGAGGGGACATTAGCGATAATGAGAATGAGAATACGCTTTAATGAAGATTTGACTTATTATTGCTTAGATTTATTTTCCTTTAAATAGACGTGTATTTTTTTATATTTCTGAGTAATATCAATAACTGTAAATTTAAATAACTTCTTTAACAAGTAACAAAAACAGAAATTTCGGTTGAAAATTTGTTGACCTCTGAAAAAAAACTTGAAAGGTCGGCCACCGGTAAATACATGACCGGGATAATTTGGCGGGTTTTGGGAAAGTCCGCCATATTTTTCCCGGTCATTAATTTTCCCAGTCACAAATAAACCCGCTATAATATTCCCGAGTAAGGTAGGCTTATCTGTAGTTCCTAAGGCCAAATAACTACAAAAAAAAGTTTGAAGCTTCAACTCTAACGGGAAACACCGCCACCTGCCACGCCCATTTTTTTCATCAATTTTTAACAGGTAAAAATCTCCATCTCATCAATTAAGGCATCGATAATATCGATGAAGCCATACTCTATATTGTATGTACGTGATTGAGTTTAATACTATGTATAATATTATTCGCCAAACGAATATTTTATGATTGTTATTTTCAATAACAATAGAACAATATATTCGTTTAGGGATAGTGTGAAGTGGCCAGTGTGAATTGGTTTAGACAGTGCGCAGTGGTTGGTTACGATACAATATATAAACTCGTAAAAATAATCAATTATATATCAATGATCAATTATAATATCAATCATATACATGCAAAGAATTGTCAATTGTCCGGTAATTAAATAAGTGATGTGCCGTAATAAGATAGATTTAAAAAATGAAATAATAAGATCGATGAATCATTGAAACACAGTAAATAAAAATAAGATATCATCATAACATACCCGTCGATGAAGTCCTCTTTAAAGGAAGTCATTTCACAAGCTGTACACACGATATCAGCAGCTCTACCACTTCCTGAGATACAATTAACTAGTTTCACAACACCTACTTACGGTTAATGTTTGTGGGGCCTAAAACGTCCCATAATCATAAAATGTATAAAAGTAGTAGTAGTAAATCTTTCAAAGTACGAAATATCTCTTTAAAAGAGCATCCTAGGCACCTTATAGATATCGAAACGCATAAAAAAGAAAACAAAAACATCAACCATCTTCTAACTTCTTCCACTCCTCCCTATCTAAAGCTAAAAATCTAAGGTCTTCGAAATCAGTCAAATTCTTAAGTCTAATATCAAGATTTCTACTAGTCAAGTCTTTTCTAATAACATCTAATAAGTTTAAACATGGTCTACCCCGTCTCCCTTCCATAAAAATATCAGAATTTATAGCAAATAACATAGAGGTGTATGCTGGTGAGTCTTCCTGTCCTCTTAAGATATGTCCTAACATTCTCCATCGAAACTTAGAGACTCTCACAGACAAGGGAGTGACATAACAACGAGCATAGAGTGCCTCATTAGAAATAACCCCAGTAGGCCATCTGATGTTGAGGATTCTTCCTCAAAAGTAAGTAATTAAATATTTTATATAAGTAAGTAACATAATTAAATATTTTATATAAGTAAGTAACATTTTATAAAAGTAAGTAATATGTTATACAAGTAAGTAATATTTAATATAAGTTGGTAATATGTTATATAAGTTGGTAATATGTAATATAAGTAAGTAACATGTAATATAAGTAAGTAACATGTTATATAATCAAGTAATATGTTATATTAGTAAGTAACATGTTATATTAATAAGTAATATGTAATATACGAAGTAACATGTTATATAATTAAGTAATATGTAATATAAGCAAGTAATATACCCACCTTTAATAACGACGAGAGGCTGGCCCATCCTCAGAGAATTAAGCGCCATCTCAATACTCTGAGAGCCCCCCTCTAGCATGATACATATCATAGGAAGAGGGACCCCGTCCTTCTCATACATCTTAGTTATCAGGAACTCCAGCTCTCCTCGGAACTTTATCTCTACTCCACTTGCTTGAGTTGTTCCTGTGGATAAAGTTAATATTTATTTTAGATTAAAGAACATTTTTAAAGATTTTATTTAAATTTTAAAAGGGTATGGATACTAGATCATTTACCCGATCTCTACGCAATAATAAGTTACTTTGGTGTGTACTGTAATGAACTATTCGATTAACAAGTAGCAGGGAGCTAAGTAAAAGTCACGTGACTGCTACGATTAACTAACAGGGAGTTAGCGTCTAATACCTTGCCTAAAACTCCAGTAATATATACCATGATCCTGGACCCCTGTGGCGAGTTTGCTCCCTGAGAATACAACAAAAAAAAAGAATTGAATTATAGCAGCTAAATACCGTCATCAACGAGGAAGAAGTGACTGTGATTGGGCTCCAAGGAGGCGCTGCCAAGTTCAGGGATAGAAGTGGTGTAGTCAGTGATGGACTCGTTAAACTGGAGGCGAGATATAGTTAGCTAGTTCATTAGTTAGTTAGTTAGTTAGTTAGTTACTAGCAGTTACCGGAGAACTACAGACACTGGTGGGGAAGTGCACAGCGATTAACAAATTAGGTTCGAGCATTGGCCGGTTAAAACCTGGAATATCTGTCCAGTGTCAGAACAAATACGGTCCAGAGCCTCACCAGATCTTATAAATATAATATCCTTTGTAAAATCTGCACTGAGCAGCACTAGATCGGTGTTGATCTAGGCCTACATTAGTGAGATTAAGAAATGGAAAAAGAAGTAACCTGCTTATGAAACAATGGAATTCAAATATAATGTTGTTATTCAACTGAAAGTAAAAACCCTGTTGTTTTTCCGTAGAAGCATCTCTTTGTTCCATGTTTTACCCCAGTTTGCAACTCCAATGGTGTATATCTTGGATGTTAGGATAGATCTTCCAATGATGTCTCCCACCAACTTCGTGACTCCCTGTTGTTAATACATTGTTATACATTGTTATACATTGTTATACATTGTTATACATTGTTATACATTGTTATACATTGTTATACATTGTTATACATTGTTATACATTGTTATACATTGTTCTATTGTTATACATTGTTATACATTGTTATAGCTGAAGACGATTTACGCATGTATTTTGAAAGCTCCTGCTAGATACAGATTCTTATTGAGGAGAATCTGTACACTATTCCAATGAACACTAATAACGACTTTGATTCCTGAGTTGGATAACTATTTGAATAATGTTCAATAAAGTCTAAAATATAATCGTTGCAACATTACGTAAACTGATAGTTGAATAATATCCGGTTGGAAGAGACAAGGACAAATGAAACAGGAAGTTAGGAATGTAGGCAAATTTTCGGCGTCAACGCCATCTTCAGGCTCAAATTATTTGTTATATAATATAAGTAGTGTTGAAAGTATTAAAAATTACGTAAACTTGCTGCTTACTACAAAGTAAAATAAAAACTGCCACTGATATTAGCCTGGTTCATACCTCGTCCTGTCCACTGGTGATAATCCAACCATTAGTAGACTTAGCAGCATTGAGGAGCCCGTGTTGGAAGTGTAAGCACACATCATGAGGGGCGTGGAAACTCTTGTTTCCTCCTATCACTGATATCAACAATCCTGTGGGAAGAAGTGTTACCTCCTATCACTGATACCAACAATCCTGTGGGAAGAAGTGTTACCTCCTATCACTGATACCAACAATCCTGTGGGAAGAGCGGTTACATCAATTTTGAACTTGTTTTCGTCCAGGGTGGAGTTGTTATGCTCTAACTCCCACCAAAAGTGGAATCTGCCAACTGCCAAGTTTACTGCAGTTTTGCATTTAGCTTGCAGATATAAGTTTTATCTAGATTTAACAGATCCATCTTAAAAGTTAATTAGATTATCTTGTGTGCAAGAATATAAAAAGGTCGCCCGCCTGGCTGCTCTGTAACTATGTTGTTATCCAAATATATTACTTTAAATTCCCGCCCTACCTGGCTGCTTACACTTTTACACCCCCAGAACTCTTCAAATTCCCGGCCTACCTGGCTGCTTACACCCCCAGAACTCTCTAAATTTCCGGCTTACCTGGCTGCTTACACCTCCAGAACACTTTAAATTCCCGGCCTACCTGGCTGCTTACAACCCCAGAACTCTCTAAATTCCCGGCCTACCTGGCTGCTTACACCCCCAGAACACTTTAAATTCCCGGCCTACCTGGCTGCTTACAACCCCAGAACTCTCTAAATTTCCGGCTTACCTGGCTGCTTACACCCCCAGAACACTTTAAATTCCCGGCCTACCTGGCTGCTTACACCCCCAGAACTCTCTAAGAAGCTTTTCCATCCTTTGTATATTCTTTCTGTCACCGTAGTCGCTGGCTACCCGGATATACTGAAATAACTCTAAATAAATAACTCTAAAATAAAATACCTATTTAATTATTTAAGAGTCTAAATCTTTCAGCACGAAATGTGTTATGAGTTGATATATAGCTGTTTTGGGTTTCTTAGATAGTAACAGAAGCTGTGTTGGGCTTCTTGGATATTACCAGAATTTGTTCCGAGCTTCTGCTCGGACAGTGCCACAAAATTTAAATCCCAACAAAAGCACCTCTAAAAAAAGAGCTCACCTCCGGCTGTATAGTAGTGTCCTCATCTAGAAAGTTGATCTTGCCGTAAGCAGAGCACTCGGTCAGGGTTGTGTGAGTGGTTTTATCCCACTTCTCCGTCTCGCCGTGTATTTGGATACCCTCGCTGTGCGCAGACCTCACGTTACCACAGTGGCAGCTGAGTGGCAGAGATTGTTAGCTTTTATCTTTACAAAACTGTTTCATCCCTGGAACAAATCATTCCCATTTAGAAACACGATGAAAATCATTTTATAATCATGTGTTAACCACAAAATATTGTATTTTAGCCCCTTCTGTTATCAATCATGTGGTACCCAGTGCGTCAACTGTAAATTAAATTATGGTATTGGTTTGAAGACTTTACCCCCGAACCAATTAAACCGAACTCCCTGTCTTATTCTAGCTGGTACCTGGATATTACTACACAAGATACAGACTATGCTAACTAGCTTACTGGAAACAAATTGACTTTCAGCGTCGTTTACCAGAAGAAACAGGTTGAGACTCAGCGTCGTTTACCAGGAGAAACAGGTTGAGACTGTCTCTCTCCCAGTAAGTAATAAGTATGACTTATAGTAGTTCTTACTTAACACTACTTTTATATAATAAACACTTACGCTCGCGGCCTTGCGAGATTTATGACTCATAGCAGTATATTGTGGTTATATTAAAGCCTTAAAGGGCACAAGCATGCACACTTCAGAAAACCACAAATATACTCAGTGTGAAACGTGAGCCTGTTTTATAATAACTTAATAAGGTGTTGTATGTGAGCCTGTTTTATAATAACTTAATAAGGTGTTGTATGTGAGCCTGTTTTATAATAACTTAATAAGGTGTTGTATGTGAGCCTGTTTTATAATAACTTAATAAGGTGTTGTATGTGGACGGCTTTTGAAAGTGATGATATTTGGTGCTCTGCCACTGAACCGCAACATTCAACACTTCTTAAAACCCGGCACTATCCATAAAGTGATGAAATTTGTGAAGCCTGACACAGCTTCCTGGGATTAAACATGAATCACATGTTCTTTGATTCTCATTCAGCACGTTGCAACAAAATGAAAACCTCGTTTAGTAATTCTATTGCACAACAGAAATGAAGCCATGTAACTGTAGCAGTCTATGTGTTACAATGAGACGGCTTTTGTAGGCAAAGAGAAACATGAAAGAATTTGTGTTGTGCAAAGAGCCCGGGCGTACTTCTACTATACAGATGTTTTAAGGTTCTTGTAGCACAAAAATGACACTTTAATATTTATTATTAACGGCTACTCTGTACTATTTCCAAGTTGACGACCATGGTTCGATCCGAGTATCAGGAGTCTACACGATCAGATGCAACAAGGCCAGTATACCAAGTTGAGGGTAAAGTGGGTTCTACCTCAGTGTGAGCTGTATGCTGTAACAATCTACAATTGTACAAAAGAGGGTAAAGTGGGTCTTGACAGTTTCAATCGTACAATGCCTCCAGCGGATTTCAGCAATTATTTCAAACGGTTTTTGAAAATAGATTACTGGGGACGGTTTTGAAAATAGATTACTGGGGACGGTTTTGAAAATAGGTTACTGGGGACGGTTTGAAAATAGATTGCTGGGGACGGTTTATAGATTACTGGGGACTGTTTGACAATATATTACTGAGGACGGTTTTGAAAATAGGTTGCTGGGGACGGTTTGCAAATAGATTACTGGGGACGGTTTGAAAATAAATCACTGTGGACGGTTTATAGATTACTGGGGACTGTTTGAAAACAGATTGCTGGGGCGGTTTGCAAATAGATTACTGGAGACGGTTTATAGATTACTGGAGACGGTTTTGAAAATAAATTACTGGGGACGGTTTGAAAATAGATTGCGGGGGACCGTTTTGAAAATAGATCACTGGGACGGTTTATAGATTACTGGGGACGGTTTATAGATTACTGGGGACGGTTTGAAAATAGATTACTGGGAACGGTTTTGAAAATAGATTGCTGGGGACGGTTTTAAAATAGATTACTGGGGACGGTTTTGAAAATAGATTACTGGGGACGGGTTGAAAATTGATTGCTGGGGACGGTTTTGAAAATAGATTACTGGGGACGGGTTGAAAATTGATTGCTGGTGACGGTTTTGAAAATAGATTACTGGGGACGGTTTGAAAATAGATTACTGGGAACAGTTTATAGATTACTGAGGACGGTAAGTAGTGTGATCATCATTACTTCAGCAGCATACCCTACAAGCAGAATGATGACATGATTTCCAAACCTTCTGAAGAAATTAAGTAGTAGATCATTGTCAGGATGTACCGAAACCTCTCCCTAAAATATCAAGATAACAAAATAACAAGTAGAAACACCCTTACATTGGTTCCAGTTCCCCGTCCATCTTCTTTATGAAGACGCAGCATTCCCGCACTTTTATCTCCTTCTTTATCCATTGCTCAAATGCTGTGTATGAGAACTGAAAGAGAAGCGTTTTATTTTCAGATAAAAATATGGTTATTAGTTATTTGTTATTTGTTATTTGTTATTTATGTCTTTCAGTTGGTTTAATTGTTCACTAAAAACGTTAAAAATTACTGGAGAGCCCCCAGAAAATTGGGGTTCAATTGGGATGCTAAATATGGTTTTGAATTTTTTATTAATGCGATATAAATTTTAAGCGGTGCAGTATTTGAATTCTGAAGTGAACGGATAGTCCTTCAAAATTAGCTCCCACTGATTTGTTCCTAGCCCTGGATAAAGTACTGCAATACCGTGAGTCACGATAATAGTGACACTTTAAAGTGTCACTTATTATTTCAAACCCTTGAAATATCTTGATAGGACTTATTTCAAAAGGTCTTGCTCTGGTGACCTGTAAGGTCACCAGAACATATTTTAACCAAAATTAGGTGCCTATCTTTTCATTTTCACCAAGTGAAACCTTACCGTGGAATTGCCCTTTAAAAGCTTTAAACTCATTTCAATCCCTTGAAATATCTTGCTAGGACTTATTCCAAAAGGTCCTGCTCTGGTGGGTGATAGCATCACGACGTATACTACAGATCACTTGATCTATATCAATAGAGTCAACACCAATAGGACCTTCTAGAAGGTCACAACTTAACAAAACTAAAAACTTCGTTTAGACCATTAGTCTGTGTTATTTACTCTTACACTATTTATCTTATCGTGATTGACCCAATTTAGATAACGTTTTTCTTTAATTGCTTTAATTATAAATCAATTGCTTTAATTAATTGATTAAATTGTAGTTTTAACAATACAGTCAAATCAATTACAGGATAGCTCTTATCTACAAATTCTAATGATACGGATTAAGTTAAACAAGCTAGATATAGATTAATTTCTGCACGTGTCATACGTCATAGCCTCCTGCAAATATACATTCTCACATTTTTAGTACAATTATTATCCTATTGTTGCTCATCAGTTAGGATTTTTAAATTGTTTTGCTAGCGCAAAAACCAGGATCGGAGATGTAAGTGTATCGTTTATGCGTATCAATTAGCCGATAAATAGCAAGTGGTGGAGTAATGTTTGTGTTCAATTTTCAGAATTCTTTACTCTGTAATCTAAAATACCCTATCATTAATAATTTACTACTAATAAAATGCTTTAGCTTGATAATTAAGGTTTGAACGATAAAAATTTAAAAGATAAAAAGCAGTATACCACATTAAATTATAAACTATAAAGTAGATCTGAGCGAATAAGGTTATATTAATAGATCTGAAGAGATCACACGCTGTCTGTGTCAGATAAATATCATTCATCTCCCCACTAGTTTCACAAGTAGTCCGCGGACAGTTGCACGGACTAGTCCGCGGACAGTTGCACGGACCAGTCCGCGGACTAGGTCGGGATACTGCCCTCCACTATAGATATATTACTTTCCCGTTACTTAATTTTACCTCAGTCCCCTTGTCAAATAAGGGCGAATAACCAACTTTGCTCGCCATCACGTCAATCTTACAATGTTAGGAAACCGAAATAAGTTTTATCTAAAAAATTAAAGACCCTCTGATAAGGGCAAAGCGACAAATATTCGCTACCAATTCGATTAAAAAATTAAAAGTAAGAATTATAACCAACCCCACAAAACGTGTTTGTTGCAGCCATTAATAAAGGTGTTAAATTTTCGCCAGCATTCGGAGAATGCGAGTAATTGGGGTTATCATGGTTATTCTCCTGCATGGCTCCATGATTTGACTTGTGAAGTAAAGACTTCATGTCCAGAGTCGTTTACTTCGCACAAGAAGTATTTCTCTTTGCAGGATGCTGAACGACTTATTATATCGATAATGTGCAACAAAAATATGCAATCGGTACCATCAAAAGATAAAAGTATGAACGCTAAACAAAAAGAAATTTTAAGAATTCTGGAAGTGAATGGATTCCTTGATCCTCGTATCTCCTTTTGTAGAAATCTAAAAATGGACGATATTTCTTGCTGAGATATTCACACTCCTCACACTGTTATACTTTCAGTTTACTGAACGTGACATCACGCTCAACACTGGACTGTTGTTGCTTATTTGATCTCATCATCTGGTGGTATTCTCAAACTGTGAGGAGTAGGCACTGAGGAGGAGGCACTGAGACGGGTTAATCACCTCCTCTCTGACGAGATTACTTTATTCAATCTCCCACATTGTAACGAATTTACCCACCAATAGTTGGCAGTTCTACAACCGAACCAGCCTTTAGTACTTCATTAACACACGGGACACATACCGCTTAGCGGCTAGGAAAAGTCCGGTAATTCGTTAAAGCAGCTGTTGATGGGGTCAACACCCCTGTGGAGTGTGGCATGGACCTGCTGATCCGGGCTGGACAACATGAGGGCTCACGCTTACCAAATATTATAAAGAAACACGTCATTATCCCTTAGAGAGGGGTTTCTTGAAAACATTACAATTATATCTTAGTTTGTTTGTAACTTAAGCTTTTTAATAAAATGTGTTATCGTCTTCTGACTTGCTGGTAGAAGAGACATAACACACCGTGTTAATAACACAGTTGTTTATAATTGATATCCCGCTAGTTGGGTCTTTAAACTTGCCGCGAGGACTTGCCAGACAATGAGTAGAGATCATTTGCGTTCCGTTTGCGTTTCAGAAGTCAGCGATCAGTTTCCCGGGTAAACGCAATAGAGATAGACCGTACGGGACCGTATCACCTTATATTCATAACATAAACAACATTACCTAGTGCACCCTGGTATTCAGACTGTACCGTGTTATTACAGGGACTAAGGGTACTAGGGGAGACTAAGGGAACTATGATAGACTGGGGGACTAGAGGTTGGTTAATTTAAAGCATTTAACCCATTAGTTGAGGACTGTTCTTTATAGAGGCTCACGATGAGGTGATCAACCACTTAGTAGATCACGACTTCGTTTCCGCATTTAAACTGTTAAGTTGATAAGAGATGTGGCACCGAACGAAATTTCAACGCTTAGATTGTAAAAGTATGACGTGTTTTCCTTAAAAGCTTTAGATGATCTTAGGGAGTATTATAAGAACGAAAAATACCCTGAAAAAAGCAAGTTATCCCGTTACGGTGGTCTACAGATGCGATGAATAGCTCACTTAAGTCATAAGAATAACTAAGTCCTATAATTAAACTACAAGTAAACAGATTAAACAGCAACACTCAGCGACACTACAATTAATGACAAATTCCAGTGCGGTGTTTGAAATAATTCCGCAATAAAATATTGCATTATACTCCCAATAATAATGGATAAGATTAGCCTCATTAGATAGTGTATTGTTATATAGTAATATTAATCATTCTTTTATTTATTAATTATTATAAGTGTTGATTAATTCTTAAGACCGAATTATTTTTATTTCTATGTACTATATTGGATCATAAACGAAAAGTAATCAGATATTGGTAAGTGTTGAGTACCAATGATTTGACAACATGCGCAAATTGTGAACGGCCCTTAAGGTATGAGCAATAAAGAGTAAATTACTCAAATGAGGACCGTCCATAAAAGGGCTGATAGATTAAAGATAATTTAACATATTCTGATTATTTCAGCGATACCTACATCATTTTTAGAGCCAGTTTGGACACACCCATTTTGAGACTGAACGCTGAGCTCAAGCAACTGATCTAGTCCCATCACTGTAAGACATACGCCTACTGCACACTACATGGGTAAACTAGTAAAGTGGAAAGGGAAGTATTTTAAACAGGAAGACAATATAGGACTAATTGTGTATTTGTTACTTTTTAAAAGGTCATCAGAACGTATTTGGAAAAAGATTAGAAGGAAAACAAGATACAAAAAGTGCAAATTAAATAATGACAAGCTGTATAGAGAACTGTGGATTATCTCACCACGAAAGCTAGCTAAACAAGGGCTAAAAAGAGAAAACCGAGAACATTTGGCAAAATTAGACACCACAACTGCCAACCTAGTTACGACAAACCATGATCTGCGTCTAATTATAACTCCACAATTAATGCCGCCCAGAGAGTGGTGTGTTCAAGCCCTAGGTCACTTTTGAGCCGCACAAGCAGCTGTTGAGACATCTAATTAATGGAAGCGGCAGTGAACTCTCCAGGTGCTAAATGAATATGTCACCTGAGCGACTAGATAACATAGGTAGATATAATACACGGCAACAAAAGTCAAAAGTGTGAGGGAAACGGAAGCTAGCAAGATTTAAGAAATGTACTGCTTAAAGCTGTTAAGGTTTATAACGCGAGCTTCACTGGTGATACGCGACGTGCTTATTGGATCATTACGTTACCATAACTTCATGCCCTTAACCTGGTTAAATGTTAACACTTTCATAGTTTTATCGGATTCTTTCATATAGAGGATTGTCTGGCTCATTATTCAACTTATAAAAATGTCATCAACATGATCAATCCAACTAGTGCAGTCCAAGTATAACAGTTTATAAATACATTTCCCTTTCTATCTCATTACTGTTCGTAGTATATTATATGAAAAGTGGATCAGTATTATATTAATATTATCATAAGGGAAGATCGCTGAAACCACGCACACAATCGAATGGGATTAGATCCCGGGAATATCTAAAATATCAGGTACGTTGACCCAAACTATAAAATAAACTGGATCCTGAAGAACTATCTATTTTTATTGCAACGTTTTACAACGTAATTACAACATAATTCTAGGTTTTGCACCACAATGATCGTGAAGCTCAACCCTATCTTTTGCTGCACAAAAATTAAATTCGCCTGACAGCCAATCAAAACCCATTTTAAGTCAGACCTGAATCTTTGCATGCTGTGAAGGGGGTCCTGACTATACGGCGTAAGACTCTACGGCGTGAGTCCCGAACCCGCTGTGGAGTAAACTTAACATAAATTTCTTAATTTGTACTGAACCAAGACACGCGGTTTAACCAAGACATGCATGTAAAACCAGGTACGTAATAAAACAATGAGGCTGGTAAATGATACTTTGGATGAGGGTAAATAATAATATCACTAGTTTGGCACTCAATGAGGTTCAGTAATTTCCACTTCCACGTTTCAAGGAAAGAATGGGGGTAGAATTAGCAGAAGAAAGAGATAAGGTCGACATGGTACCGTTTACAATATTTATTCGGGGATTATTATGTTCCTGTCATCTACAGTTCAGCGAGGCCAGTTCCCACTCCCCAACTGCAGTTCCAGTTTCATGTTACAACTTAACTTTATTTGGTTGAAAATCGATCCAACAAATCTTGTTTTGATTTCGAGTTACCGAATTTCAACCGAAAATTTATAAATTTCGTGGACGACTTTTGAAAAGAAAGTGTCGAGCCTAGCGGCACATTTCACCACATAGGTACATATTATAATACACACCTGGCACATATAGAACATATCAGTTCGTTTAATTATGACGGGTTCAATTTGGCGGTTTTACGGAAATCTTGCTATATTTTTATTTTTACCCGCCATAATAAAACCCGCAGAGTAAATTTTTGGAGTTTTGATACGGCATAATAATTTTTGGAAAATCAGCCATAATTTTTACCCGCCTCAATATTACCCGCCATAAATATACGAACTAAGGTAGGTACGTTTCACCACTGATTCAACCACCATTCTACGTTTAATGTACGGTTGTTCCGCAGCAGAAGCATTTAGTTGC